GGTTAAACGCTCAGATATAGTCGTTCTAGCTGGTGACTTCCAGGCTAAAGTTGGGAAATTTTTTAATCTGAGAAGAATATTGGTGGCACCTATGGAATTCCCTGCCAGCGAACCGACAACGGTGACCGTCTCCTACAGTTCTGTTCAGATAATCATTTGTTTCTTGTAAGCACTAACTTCAAACACAAGGAGAGACACTGTTTGACTTGGCGAATCCCATTATCAAACTGACGCTGTACACAAATAGACAACATCTCAATAAGCTATCGTTGGCGTGGGTCATTAGGAGACTCTCGCTCCTTCTGGAACACATGTAAAGATACTGATCATGAAATGGGCCGCGCTCGTTTGCGCTTACGACTGAACGCACGCAGGAAACAGCTGGCGGTAAACCCATCACGTCCCCAGATGAATAAGGAAACTAAATCCCTATTTGAGGTAGAACAAGCTAAACACATATCTGAGTTCGACAGCTGTGCTCACCCTAAGAAACCTAGGAAGAATATCCAGTCAGCCATAAATACAGCTGTAAAAGCCGTGAATAAGTTAAAACCAAAGGTGAGTAAAAACCATTGAATCTCTACCGCCACGTCTGAACTTATATATGCTAGAAGAATTGTACCGGCAATCTCCGAATTCAGTGAGGCGCGAAAGCTGCACAAAAGGAAAATTACGAAAAGTCTCCGCAAGGACCGTGAACAGTGGTGGGTGACAAAGGCGAGGGAGTTGGAAAAAGCATCGGCGATAGGGAACACTAGGACACTCTTTAGACACATCAGGGAAACGGGAGGGAGAAGGCTGTTCATGAAACAATCTCGGAGAAAAATGGCACCATAATTAGCGCCAAGGATAGAAGACTGCAACGCTGGAAAGAGCACAAAGAGGAGCAGTTTGAGTTGGCTCATAGCCACGCTCTAACTGCCGAGCATCCAACACCTCCCAGAATGGGATACAGACTCACTCCCTCTTGCTTAATTGAGGTTACTAAAGCTGTCACCAATCTGAAACTAGGCGAAGCAGCGGGACCTGGTGGAATGACTGCAGAGGTATTTAAGTGCGGTGGAGGCAGTTTACTGTCTGCATTAACTGAGGTACTAGGCAGCGTCTCGGAATCAGAAGAAGTCCCATCGGGTTGGTGTAAGTCACTGATTATCCCCATATACAAGAAGGGAGACAAGTCGTCCTGTGATAATCACAGAGGGATTAGCTTGACTAATATAGTGTCTAAAGTCCTTGGCTCAATCATCATGCGTAGACTGAGTGGTGCTCGGGAGGCACAAACACGAGAGAACCAGGCAGGCTTTAGACCAGGAAGAGGGTGTATTGATCATATCTTCACCCTTCGACAGATTCTAGAACATAGACATTCTTACCGGCGTCCAACAATCACTATATTCCTTAACCCAAAGGCGGAATTCGATTCTGTCGACCGAGAGGTTCTCTGGCGATGCTTGGCTGTAAAGGGAATGCTGAGAAAGTACATTACACTGATTAGGGCACTCTACTCGTACTCATTCAGCCAAGTGATGGCTTACGGCGAGTTGTCATATGAACTGGTGACGACTAGTGGTGTCCGTCAGGGATGCCCATTATCCCCATTTCTATTCAACTTCGTCATAGTTGTACTAATGGACTTAACCCTAAGTGACTTCAGCTACTCAGGGATTGACTTGCTACCAAGGAATAATCTCGTTGACTTAGAATATGCAGACGATATAGTCCTTCTAGGCGAGGACGCTGACAAAATGCAGAGTCTTCTAAACACCTTGAGCCGCAATCTACGAATGCTTGGCATGCGATTCGCTCCCGTCAAATGCAAGATGTTGTTGCAGGACTGGACTACACCGACTCCTAGATTAGAAATAGGAAGTGAAGTGGTAGAGTACATTGACCGCTTCACTTATTTGAGAAGTACCATCAGCCGTGCCAACGGGTTTGTCTCTGACGAAATCTCAGCACGAATACAGAGGGCTAGTTTCACATTTGCCAGTTTACGCCATCTCTAGCGTAGACGAGATATTCGACTATCGACCAAAGGGCGGGTGTACTGCTCATCAGTCCGCTCCGTCCTCCTGTATGGTTGTGAGACCTGGCCACTGAGAGTGGAAGACGCGAAAAGATTATCTGTCTTTGATCAAAGGTGCCTGCTTTCTATCTCCCGTGTGAAGTGGTATAATAGAGTTGGCAATATTGAGGTTAGGTATCGAGTTCTAGGTAAGCAGGGGAAATCAATCGACGAGCTTGTGAAGTTACATCGACTGAGATGGTTAGGAAGTGTGTTACGTACGCCAAGTCATCGCCTTCCTCGACTAGCAATGTTAGCGGATATAGGGTCAGGCTGGAAAAAAGCTAGCGGCGGTCAAACAAAAACATGGCACCAGTCAATGAAATCTACAACAGTTAGTCTAAGCCACATAGGAAGGTGTAGACTTCCTGGTTGGGGTCCTCGGGACGGTAAAAACCAATGGTTGGAAACTATTGGTAAAATGGCTCAAAATCGTTCTCAATGACGCAGATGCACCCACTCCTTGTGACTTATGATTTCCAATAAAACTGTTTTGTTCTTCGTTACTACTATTCCTTTGTGGCACACCTCTGTTTACTGCCTCTATTATGCATTTCGTCTACTTTCTTCTCTTGCTTTATGTTTTTCGCATAACAGTTATCTAGAAATCATTGTTCTCGTTTTCCGTTTGGAGTGATTGTTGAGACCCAAGGAGCTACAGGGGGCGAAAATATTTAGAAGTTGGGTCTGAGCAAACAACCATGAATTGCTCGTTCAATCTTAAACTACATTGACAGTCATAAAACATTAGCTGTTCCCTCTATAAGAAGACGTAGACAAGCGGGAATTGACCAAGCGTGAATAGTTGTTGATACACTTCCAGTTTTATTTATTAATCAGGATAAATGTTCACTTCTCACTCGGCGCTCAAGTCTGCGTAAATGGTGAACCAGTGAAGTGACAGGACGTTGTAGAGGAACGAAGGTAAACATGATATTATTTTAAAGGGTCAATGAAAGAACGCCTGCTTAAAAGGTTTTATCGTGAAAGTTGGCTGGAGGATATCAAGATTTTGAAATGTATACAATGAGGACCATTTAACAACGACGTATTTTTGGTCAACAGCTTTACACATCGAGAAGTCGTCGTGGCACATACTACGTGTATTGCACAGCATTCACCATTTGCACACTTGTTTCCCGTCATACGTTGACTGCCCATTTAACTCACTCACATTCTGGAGGCACCTAAAAGCTGGTAAAATAGTAGTCTTTGTGTTATTAACTAGGTGAACTTATAAATAATGGATTATGTGAAAGTAAATTTGCAGTTAAAAGTGTATGTCTAGGATTGTTCCGGGCGCACTTACGGTCATATTTCCCGGGAACAATTAATTTACCTATTAATGCCACTTACTGAATTAGTGCAACAAGTAACACATTATTGGACTTTGAAAGAGAAATTACCCCTTCCGTTTTAGTTCACTTGCAACAACCAGAAGAATTATCTACATCCACTAGCCTATCCAACAGCTAAGCAGAAAATGCCAGTACACTGAGAGAATTCTTCATACACTATATCCACATAATGCATATAACAGTACATAACTCAGTGCAGTTATATATTGAGTCCGTTTAAGAAACACATTTAGACATACGATAATTACTGCATGTGCAAACATGCTGTGAAACGACGCATCTGGCTGTCAGATCACGTGAAACATGCACGAATCTGACATCTAGGTGAGTTACAGCTTTCAGCAATCCAGACATGTTATACATATTTTAATGAGAATTATTTAAAATAAAATGTTTTCCAACTGGAATTTTTAACCAATATGATGTATAATCAAGCCCTACTGGTGCCAGTTTGTTTAGATCGTGTCTAACACGTGTAACAAGGACTGGGCCAATAGGAGTTGTGCCAGCCAGAAGCAACTGGAGACTGACTGTAGTCATTCCCCTCCTAGTTTCACGCCGGATTACAGCTGATCGGTGTGTGTGTACTTTTGTGTGTTATTGGCCTTGTTGCTTGCTGACACAAAAATTTTACGCTTTCCTCTTTGATAGTGGCTTATATGCTGTGTTCATAACTGTCAGTAAAGATAAGAGATAGTTGCCCACCTGGGCGCGATTCTAGCATGCTCAGAATTGTAGATACTGGTGCTTCAACATCATCAGTAAGCAATACTGCAACACTGTGTTTTATCATATATAATTATTCTATGATGGGATTAGACTCTCTCAGTGCCCAGTTTCTCTTTTTATATCAGCTGATCTGTCGCCTTCCCAGCTAGATTTTTTTTTCGGGCACACTGCAGACTTTGGGACAAAAAACTTAGGGCGCATAAATATACGTGGGACAGTATCCCTAAGCCTGCCCTAAAAAGTCTGCAATGCGCCCTAAGTCTGCCTCTGATTCTGCAGTGTGCCCAAAAAATGCTAGCTGGATTACTTAATATGGAGGTTAACGTAACGGGATAAATAGCAAATACCGCACCGCTTCCATACCACAGTTTGAGTGCTTCTGACCACTTGATTATGCTGCATGCCAGTTTTCTCATCTCCACAGAAGTTAAATTAGTGTCTCAGCTAGCATTTTCTTTGAGTGCATTGCAGAAGGTACAACAGTTATCTTCAGTGCGCCCAAGGTCTGCCCCTAAGTTCTGCAGTGCGCAATGTTAGATGGGTATTGGATTAGGCCATGAATGGGTTTGGTTTGACATTCCTTAGTTTCGTTGAACTTCAGTGGATTAATAATTGAAACAGGTATTTGCTTAATGCCTGTAGTTCATGTCTCAGCTGATACATCTATTAGTAGGACACCATGTTGCTTTGCAGAAGCGAATTTTCATGTATTTTAGTTGTGCTTCGTTAATTGCTATATTCTTCATTCTTGTTCAAATGTATGCTTTTTCTTAAGCAACAGAGTCCTAAGTAATTTGGTATTGGTGATTGATTACTGATTCAAACCGTGCCCATAAGAGGACTTCACGATGGCAAACGTAAGAAATTCTGATACTTCTACTATGTCTCATCAATCTCTAAAGGATATGGGCAATCAGTTGTTTATTTCGTGCCAATACAACCAGGCAATTCATTGTTATACACAAGCTATTGCTAAGCAGCCAAATATATCTTCGTACTACTCAAATCGAGCCTTGTGTTATATTCATATGCAAGAATATTTGAAGGCTTTGTCAGACTGCAGGTTTGTTTTTTACCTTTGTAATTTATCTTTCGAAAATCTGGAATGCACTCTTCAAATGTTTATTTAGGTTTTTGTCACTGTGTCTGGGGACTGTCTAGGATCTATATTTCATACAGTTAACAAAGATAAATTAGTGTATGTCTTGTCAGGGGGACATTTGGTCTTACAGATGCGAAGTACGCAGGTCATATTACTCGGAAGATTTAAGTAGCTGAAAAATCATCATGAATTTCCTGTCACATGGTCATGTTGCTTTGTTAGAATTAGTGTGATAATTCTCCAGTGTCGTAATGCACAGAGGACTACACTTCAGTTATAAGCGCTCAGGTGTATGAAAATATTTTTAAGGTTTTTAAGAGGTCCTCATTTCACCTGGATGCATTCTGTGCCTTTAGAGATTCGGTAATGTAGCATTCTCCTTTTTGCAAGTCCTGGGTAATCACAATCTGCAAGTGTTCCCAAAATGACGTTTGCTTGTTGTTAACAAAATATAAGGCGTCATTTGTCATTCATATAGCCAGCAGACAAATTACATCTGCCTTCCAAGTTAGTGAATGCCACTATTTTTTTGTACTTGATTCATTGTTTGAATGATTTTTATCAGTTTACCACTCATTTCTCAATTTGATTCAGAGAAGCGATTGAGATTGATCACAATAACTTAAAAGCCTATTTTTTTGCTGGACAAGCACATTTTGGACTAAATCAGTATGAAGAAGCACTAGGAAAACTGGTACATGCCCATAATTTAGCTTTAGAACAACACCGTGACTTTGGAGATGATATAACTTCTCTCATTCGACTGGTTCGGAGAAAACGTCTTGAAGCGCTGAATGAGGAAAGAAAGAAGGAAGAAATTTCTCTACAGGTAAACAGTTTTATTTATCTCTATGTTCGATTTGTGGATAATAGCTAAATTTAGATCTTATTTCACCATTTACGTCACCATTTGCCATCTATAATTATCTGTATAGTTGTGAAGAGTAGAATTACCTTTGTAATCAATCATATCTTTAACTGTAAGTCGCTTTATGACGTTATGGAAGTCGGTGGTAGCAATCAAAACATTTTGTTTCCACACTGTTCTTGTAGCAGACTTATGGATATGAAAACCCCCTCTTGAACTATCTGCAGCATTAATTTTTTGTGAATGTTTCGATTAATTTTTATTAATTGTCTTTGACCTTAACATTCAGATCAACATTCTGGCACTTGCATGCCTGTTATTTTCACATTGCTTCCTATTTTTAATGCTTCACTTTACTATTGTGTGACACTGAAGTGTTCGTAATGATGTGCTTTCACTACCATCGATATTTTGCTTGAGTAAACTCAAGGTTTTATCGTGAAGTGACTGCTCGCCTTATCTCAGTCTTCTGGAAACGCGTTTTGTTCAATTTGACACTTGCGGAGAGAATTTCGATCTTATTTTGTGGGAAATAATCTTGTTGATTTTCAGGTGTTTGATTGTTGTATTTGGTTAAATATTTTGCTGTGCGTCGGTGGCACAGCGGTTAGGACGCTCGCCGATCACGCACATGGTCCGGGGTTCGAGCCCACGCCGACTCACACTTGATATGTATAGCCTGCCTGCGAAATTTGGGCTACCGATATCACATGCTGAAAATTCCACACTTGTACCAAAAATACAGTGTGGAATCAAGCTATAATAAAAAATAGAAAAAAATTAAACATTTTTACTTGAGAAATCTTTACACCATATAGTTGTCTGATGGCATTGTTGAGGTATTCCTTGGATTTTTGACATAACTTATTGTTTAGTAGTAGATTTCGTCTTTTACCATTGTTGGAATATAATCTTTAACTTAATAAAGTGTGTCAAAACAAACCGAAGAACTCATTAAATCATACTTATCGTGTTAATTTGGTTTCATTGATTCGTTTTCTGTGTTCAGATAAAAAATATTTGAGTTTTTTTCGTTGCAGGTACAATCAGTGGTTTTCTAAGGAATGCAGAAACCTGACCCTCTCAATATAAAAGTGTTACTGCCAACCTTTTGCAAACTGTCTGTGCCAACATTGTTACGACTCAAAAGTACACCTTATAGAGGAAGCTATCATTATGTCTAACAGCACTGAACCTTTTGAATAGAAAAATGTTCTCATCTTACAGAAACCACAATCATTGTTTGAAGGCCGTTGATGGTGTTAGCGTCATCATGATGCTCAACAGTGTACTTGACCAGACTATTAGTAATCCCCATTTACAAGACGTCTAATATCAACAAAATGAAAAGGCGTAGCAAAGACTCAAATTTCATCACATGTCCCCACAGTAGACTTCCGCTCTTCCAGAACTCAGGTGGATAGTGTGTAGTCACCACCAAGTGTGATGCAGAAATGAATTAGCTTACAGTATCCAAATTTCTAGGTTCAGTAACCATGTTTACGATAAGTGGTGCTCGGGAGAAGCAAACACAGACAACCGTGCAGACTTTAGGCTTAGAAGAGGGTGTATTAATCATATCTTCAGTCTTGGACAGATTCTAGAACAGGCATACCTACTCATGTCCAGCACTTGTCATATTTCTTGACCTGAACGTGACGTTCGATTTCACCGACCGAAAAGTGTTGTGTCAATTTCTGACCGTAAATGCACTGAACTTAAGCTCCTTTAGGTGGGTAAGACTTCATGGAGAGTTTGCGTCTGAAGTGATAACATCCACTGGTGTCCGTCAGAGATGCCCATTGTCCCTGTTTCTGTTTAATCTCACCACAGAAGTACTAATGGAATCGAAAAGTCACTGATTATCCCCATATACAAGAAGGGAGACAAGTCATCCTGTGATAATCACAGAGGGATTAGCTTGACTAATATAGTGTCTAAAGTCCTTGGCTCAATCATCATGCGTAGACTGAGTGGTGCTCGGGAGGCACAAACACGAGAGAACCAGGCAGGCTTTAGACCAGGAAGAGGGTGTATTGATCATATCTTCACCCTTCGACAGATTCTAGAACATAGACATTCTTACCGGCGTCCAACAATCACTATATTCCTTAACCCAAAGGCGGAATTCGATTCTGTCGACCGAGAGGTTCTCTGGCGATGCTTGGCTGTAAAGGGAATGCTGAGAAAGTACATTACACTGATTAGGGCACTCTACTCGTACTCATTCAGCCAAGTGATGGCTTACGGCGAGTTGTCATATGAACTGGTGACGACTAGTGGTGTCCGTCAGGGATGCCCATTATCCCCATTTCTATTCAACTTCGTCATAGTTGTACTAATGGACTTAACCCTAAGTGACTTCAGCTACTCAGGGATTGACTTGCTACCAAGGAATAATCTCGTTGACTTAGAATATGCAGACGATATAGTCCTTCTAGGCGAGGACGCTGACAAAATGCAGAGTCTTCTAAACACCTTGAGCCGCAATCTACGAATGCTTGGCATGCGATTCGCTCCCGTCAAATGCAAGATGTTGTTGCAGGACTGGACTACACCGACTCCTAGATTAGAAATAGGAAGTGAAGTGGTAGAGTACATTGACCGCTTCACTTATTTGAGAAGTACCATCAGCCCCAACGGGTTTGTCTCTGACGAAATCTCAGCACGAATACAGAGGGCTAGTTTCACATTTGCCAGTTTACGCCATCTCTAGCGTAGACGAGATATTCGACTATCGACCAAAGGGCGGGTGTACTGCTCATCAGTCCGCTCCGTCCTCCTGTATGGTTGTGAGACCTGGCCACTGAGAGTGGAAGACGCGAAAAGATTATCTGTCTTTGATCAAAGGTGCCTGCTTTCTATCTCCCGTGTGAAGTGGTATAATAGAGTTGGCAATATTGAGGTTAGGTATCGAGTTCTAGGTAAGCAGGGGAAATCAATCGACGAGCTTGTGAAGTTACATCGACTGAGATGGTTAGGAAGTGTGTTACGTACGCCAAGTCATCGCCTTCCTCGACTAGCAATGTTAGCGGATATAGGGTCAGGCTGGAAAAAAGCTAGCGGCGGTCAAACAAAAACATGGCACCAGTCAATGAAATCTACAACAGTTAGTCTAAGCCACATAGGAAGGTGTAGACTTCCTGGTTGGGGTCCTCGGGACGGTAAAAACCAATGGTTGGAAACTATTGGTAAAATGGCTCAAAATCGTTCTCAATGACGCAGATGCACCCACTCCTTGTGACTTATGATTTCCAATAAAACTGTTTTGTTCTTCGTTACTACTATTCCTTTGTGGCACACCTCTGTTTACTGCCTCTATTATGCATTTCTTCTAATTTCTTGTCTTCCTTTGTGTGCTAAATGGAGTGTGGTGACTTGAACTGCCGCGCATATGTTCAAAGGTCTATGTCGAAAACAAAGAAAAACACAAATGGAATCGACCCTATTAAACTTAAGTGATTTAGGGATTGGCTTGTTCCCACAGAACAGTCTCGTCGGTTTTATAGTATGGGGATGATTTTAATCCTCCTAGGTACAGTTCCTGACAAAATGCAGAGTCTTCCAAACACCTTGGACAGAAACCTTCGATTGTTTTGCGTCAACTGTAACGTGATGCTGCACGACCACACCGAAAGAGGTCCAGTAATCAGGCAATATTGGCAAGTATAGTTATGGAAATTTCAAGAATCAAATTATCATAATTATATTTCAGTATTTTACACACATTGATACGTTTTTGTTTTTTTCTGGAAATATTACCGAGAACAAAAACTTATGATTGTGTGTAATTTACTGAAATATAATTATAATTTATATGATCTATTCTACAATGCCCAAACGTTTTACTGACATTAAATTTCAAGAAACTTAATCAGTAACAAAGAAATCTCAAATTTACAACCTGTCAGATTGAAATCTTGCTTTCACTATCCATTAATGTGACCAGTTTTTAGTGTTCAGGTTTATCAGGAATTCAGTTTACGTATTCCAAGTTGAGTTGCTTGGATGGACTCATTCAGCTAAATCCCAGAGTGATTCTTCAATTTTAATATTGTCACTGACCCTGGGAGTGCATAGTTTTCTCCTTTTTTTTTACTCTGTAATCAGGTATATCTGAATAAGTTAATTTTGGATGATGCTGCTCGTCAAAAGCAAGTTTTATTATCGACGTCATCTGGAACTGCTCGAAGCAACAATATCACACTACCCAACCTTACTATGCCTGACTCTCCCCAAATTAACGATGAAAATTGTTCAGAAAATATTCCAGCAGAACTTAAGGAAATAATTTCAGATATAGATAATGCATCTCAGAAACGTATTTCAGAGCTCAATGAATTATTCACTAAAGTAAATCATTTTGTTACTTCAGGATATTTGTGTGTGATATTTTTCGTTATTTCTCTTATCTATATATCATTATTCATTTCCCTAGTAGGTCTAGGAGGAAATGCTTATAACATTAACACTTCTTGAAGTGAATAAGGGTTGTGTGTAAAATCATGTTCTCAATAAACTGTGCTATAAACATTACCTTCAGCTCTATCGATAATACCTAGTTGTGGTCGAATTCATTAGAACTTTTTGTTTTTGAAACTCAAATACTCGGAGCAATAGACTATGAGGCACATCTATTGTATGCGGACTGATAAATATTTCATGAATATGGTATGGTTGTATGCAGGTAGTGGAAAATGGTCATTAGTAAGTTCCGTTTACTAATTTAGTTTGTTTACCAATGTATCAAGTTATTATTATTATTATTAAAGTTGCCCACGAATTAAACACATTACTGTCTACCTACTATTTTACAGGTAGATGAACGTCGGCAAAAAAGAGAAATTCCAGACTACCTTTGTGGTCGTATTAGCTTTGATCTTATGCGAGATCCTGTTATCACACCAAGTGGAATTACCTACGACAGACCATCAATCACTGCACACTTACGACAAGTTGGACATTTTGATCCTCTATCACGCAAGCCACTGACAGAAGATCAGCTTATACCAAATCTGTCAATGAAAGAAGTTGTGCAAGCCTTTCTTGATGAAAATCCGTGGGCTGAAACTGTATAGCTGCTACAAGCTACCCATCCTTTTTATAAATACTTTTCACCTTGCGGTGATTCGCGTCATTCCCTCACCTTCTATTTTATAACTTCCATTTTATTCTGATCCGAAAATCTTTATACCTCTGAAATGTTTGAACTACCCCACTTTTAACAAAATTTCTTGAATAGTTGATTTATCCGATATATATATATATATATATATATATATATATATATATATAATGTTTTATGTACCATGGTTATTAATATTTAAATAAATAAATAGTTACGGATATTTGTCTTTCTTACTGTTTTTGTCCCACAGAATCTAATTTCTTGTTCTCTCCCCTATAGCTCACTTCTGCGGTTGTATCTCCGCCAATATGTTTTACGAAGACCTTACTGTAGGTGTGTACGATCAACGCAGCGCGGCGGCTTTACGACAGACCTCCAGAAATCAAAGTGAGATTGCTACGTCAAATACAACTGAAGAAGTGGATTCCATTGGGAACTCTAATGAAGCGGTAAGCTCGTCCAATGCATTCAATCGATCAGTACCTGGTGAATTGTTTTTGGCTTCCTCACCGTCGTCTGCTGGTGCATCGCCTTCACCTCCTCCTATACCGAGACGCACACTCCAGCTACGTAGAATGGGTGAAACTCACCACTCATCACAGGTTAGTTTCAATATATATTATGGTTTACTTGATGACTTGGTGTAATTAAGCAAAAATTAAACTTTTGCAGTAGATGGTTTTCCACTTGTATTTTTTACGTGAATAGAGTGAAACAGTGACTGATATGTTAGAACTTTTCACAAATGTGGATCAAAACTAAATCACTTCTCAGTTTGGACGAAGTTAGTGCCAACACACGTAGCCTGCGGACGTTGTAGACTTACAACTTTACTTCACTCCATATCCATATTCAGTGCTTTATACGTCTTATTTAACTCGTTAAATACTTCTTATTTTTGTCATCTTAGTATATGTCATGTTCTTTTTTGTGTCTAGCTCTACTTCCGCAATCACGTTTATGAAGCTAGTGACTGTAGACAAACCAACCTAAGTAACACAATACTAGGTTTATTCCACACTGAGGGGAGTGTGAATTTTCCATGAGTTTAGAATAAAGGTACTCCGGCCAACAACTGCTACCATACCGTGGTTGTCGGGCTTGAACACCACAGTGACTCAACAAGCTAAACTGGCTGGGACTCATGTTCCTGCAGGTCTTACCATGTCAGGAAGGTTGTTTGGATAGCGGTTAGACTAAAAGCAGTTACCATGAGGTACATGGGTTCCAGAATCCAATCGGATCAAATGGCGTACGTACTCATATTGGTCACTGGCAACGATGGGAATGCAACTCCTGACGCTGCTCTGCTGCCTTGTGTGGATTAGACTCCAAGTCAAAGGCTCGGGGAGTGGTCCCTTAAGGAAACCACCTGCTTCGGTCTGGGCGCCCGGGCAGTATCTCAGCCCTCACACAATAAATCAGATGAAGCAACAAACTATCAATAAGACTTATCGCGCACTCATAACAATGCTTTCGAGCAATAATGATGTCTCGAGTAACAGATATTTTTCCAACCTTACTTTTGTTTTTATACATAGACTCCTGTATTTTACCTTTGCTAACCTTGACGTCTTCACCTTCGGAAGCCTTTCACCTTTGTCTAAATTCCTAGCCTATCTGTGCCGTTTCGAGATGTTAGTGAGTAGCCGTCAAAATGGTTATCATCAATGCGACACCTGACACAGATATCCTGAATCCGCGTCCCGCGTTCAAGCTCGCCACCTACAATGTTAGGACACTGATGCAAATCGGACAACAGTCAGAGTTTTAAGAACATTGGAAAGCCTCGCTATCGATGTCTGTTGCATTTCGAAGACCCGCATTCAAAATCCCAGTGAAGTGCTTCGTCTATCCTCTCCATCTGAAAGTCCCAGTAGTATGTACCACCTGCGCTTGTCCGGGATCCTGTGGCGTCGGCGTAGCTGGTGTCGGTGTCGCACTGAGCGCTAGAACCGAAGCTGCATTACTCGACTGAATCCCCATTAACAGTCGTTTACGTGCTGTGGGGGTGGAAGGTTATACGAAAGTAAGGAGTATTAGGCCAGATAGGCGGTGTCTATCTGTTGTCTCTGCCTATGCACCGACGGATTTCAGCCCAGATGCAATTATGGATGAGTTCTACTACCAACTGAGTGACCTCTTGAAACAGGCGAGTCGTACGGACATCGTAGTGCTGGCTGGGGACTTGAATGAACAGGTCGGGCGTCTAAACTCAGAGGAAAATTGTCTAGTTGGTCGATGGGGCCTACATGGTCGCACACCAGATAATGGGGACCGTCTTCAGCAGCTTTGCGCGAATTACAACCTATTTCTAGCCAGTACAAACTTCCGGCACAGCCATCGCCGTAGCGCTACCTGTTCTCCTCCCTCTGCGAATCAAGCTTGGACTCAGATTGATCATGTTTCTGTCAGTTTCCGGTGGCGTGGATGCATACAAGACTGTCGCTCCTTCTGGAGCACATGCTTGGACTTCGACCATGCGTTAGTGTGTGCCAAGTTCGTCTTGCGAATTGATGGGGTTCATAAAAGGCGTCGTCTAAACGTTGATGTGAGCAAACTAGTAGCACTTACTACTTTTCTGAAATATCAGAATGAGCTACAAACAATGCTTGCCAGAATGCCCCCCCCTCCAAGTAGTATGGATGAACACTGGCTTCATCTGCAAGGTGCCATGCAAAGGGTGAGTGTAGCCGCTTGCGGCTTGAAACAATGCTCCGCTAAAAACCACTGGGTTTCTGCGAGTTCCTTGCAACTCCTGGATGAACGCCGGTGAGGAATTGATTCACGAAAAGCAAGCTGGGTTTCGTTCAAGTCATGGATGCATTGATCATGTGTTCACCCTCCGTCAGTTGTTGGAACACCGCCACACGTATTGCATGCCAACGATCGTTGTGTTTCTTGATATTAGGGCTGCCTTCGATTCGTTGGACAGAACTGTGCTCTGGAACTGTCTGTTAGAGAGAGGTGTACCTGAGAAATTTGTTAACATCTTGAAAGCCTTATACAGAAACACCTCAGGTAGAGTGAGTGTATACAACCAACTATCATCACTGTTCCCAACCAACAGTGGGGTTAGACAGGGTTGCCCAATCTCTTCATTTCTCTTTAACTTTGCCACCGATGATACTCTGAAGTCAGCTCTGAAGGATGTGCGTGAAGGAGGTGTAGATCTGCTACCTGGAGATAGACTTTTCGACCTCGAGTATGCAGACGATGTCGTCTTACTGTGCGATAGCATGCAGGCTGCCCAAATCTCACTTAATCAGTTGGCAATCAGTGTCTGTAAGTATGGTGTGTACTTTGCGCCGTCTAAGTGGCAAGTAATGTTACAAGATTGGCAGGAGCCTGTACCTGCACTCATTCTTGCTGGTGAACCGCTTGAAGTTGTTGATAAGTTTGTGTATCTGGGTAATTGTGTGAGTGCTGGCGGAGGGGTGACGGATGAGATTTTCAACCGTATAATGAAGACTAGGGTGACATACATCAACTTCAGCCACCTCTGGCGCCGTCGCGACGTCAGCCTGGCTGTCAAAGTTCGGGTATACAGTGCTTCGGTGCGGGCTGTCTTGCTCTACGCCTGTGAAACCTGGCCTCTCCGAGCTGAGAATGTGCGGCGACTCTGCGTGTCTGATCATCGCTGTCTCTGCAGGATTGTTTGCGTTCGATGGCATCATCGCGTGAGTAATTCTGAGGTTCGGCGGCGTGTGTGAACACAGTGGAGATCACCATTCATTGAGTGTCATCATCTGGAAACACCGGCTCCGGTGGCTTGGACATGTGCTTCGAATGTCATCCCAGAGGCTTCCGTACAGGTCTCTGTTCGCTAGCCCTAGGACGGGATGGAAAAGGCGGAGGGGTGGTCAGTCCATGACGTGGCGTCGTGGGATGAAGGATGTTTGTGCTGGATTAGCATCGGTTGGTGCGTCGCGACTCCCTGGTTGGGGTCCGCGAGATAGCTCGAAACGTTATCGGATATGGCCAAGAATCGTAATCAATGGTGAACGTGTTGCAATTTCCTTCTTTCTTATCTTCCCGGTGATAGTTGACGAATACTGTTTGAACTTGTTAAGTATGACTGTTTCCTTTGTCCGTTCTCTACTTATATTTTTTACTTTTAACCTATGTTTTTATTATTATTGTGTGGTGCATCTTTCTTGGTGCCATATTGTACCATGCTTTTTCTGCGTTTAAATAAAAAATACTCCTATGAATATCTTCAAAAAGGACCTACGTAACGCTTATGACAACTATCGTGGTATTAGTCTGCAGTCAGTTGCTCAATGCCTGTTGGTACACCGAAACTCCCTAGATAGTATCAGAGAGATAATTTGAATCAGTGACTCGAGACTCAATCACATGCAATCGGGAGGCGTACCACGCTTCGATTTCCTATTTTCTTCCCTTTTGGAAAGTAACATTAAGTAATGAACTATTCTTTTGAATGCCCCTGATAAGTATGCTTACTTTATTATTTATGCTGTACTCTGTTTATTTCATTTTTGATTTACTTATATTGTTGTTCTATCATTTTTCTGCAGCACATTTCTCGTGCCTATATTGTATCAAATTTGCGTTTAGATTAATACTGATATGAACACGAGCTTGTGTTGTTTGAAGTTTTCATTTAAACCGCTAGTCATCTTCACCTTTTAATGGAATCCTACCTCTAAATCAAAATATTATAATTACTTCAGCCAACACGCATCCATTCTGTATTTACCATTATAAGAACGATAATATTTTCTGAAACTTTCGTCAAACTGCATACAGCAAAGATTTAAGATTATCGAAGTAACCATAGTAACAATAGATAAGATTAAATCAAACTTTCTCCTCTTTAACTAACTGTATTTTTATTTTAAATTTGTCAGTCATGTCAAACGGGCAGTTGACCACTGAAAATGTATAAAACCTTAACTAACTTTTGTGATTTTTACCAAGATTTTCCCGGTCTGTCTGTCTGGATTCAACATAGAACTTGGCACCGAAGTGCAGCAGTTCGAGTTGCCACGTTCCAAATAGCACACAAGGTAGACAAGAAGATGAGTGAAGAGAATCAATAGAGTTTGACAAATATAAGAGTGAAACAGAATGGGTAATGGTAGAAAGGAATATGAAAGATTACAGAGACTGAATACATCTGCGCCATTGACAACGATTTTGAGCCATGTCACCTATTGTCTCCAGCCATTGATTCCTAGAGTCCCGAGGGCCCCAACCCGGGAGTCTGCATCTCCCTACCTGACTCAGTTTAACTGTCAAGGATTTCATGGATTGATGCCATGTTTTTGTTTGGCCACCACTGGCTCTTTTCCAACCTGAACCTATATCAGCTAGCAATGCCCGTCGGGGGAGGCGGTGGTTAGGCATGCGCAGCACGTGACCTAGCCATCTTAGTCTATGTAACTTTATAGCCTCGTCGATTGATTTTCCCTCTTTGCCCAACACTCTACGCCTAACGTCAACATTACTTACCTTATTAAACCACCTAACGTGAGACAGAGATCGCAGACATCTATGATCGAAAGCAGTCAACCTTTTCATGTCTTCAACGCGTATTGGCCATGTTTCAGAGCCATAGAGAAGGACGGAGCGAACTGATGAGCAGTACACACGTCCCTTGGTTGATAACCGGATGTCACGCCTACGCCAGAGATGGTGTAAGTCAGCGAAAGCAGCTCGAGCTTTTCGGATCCGTGCTGAGATTTCATCGCCAATCAGTCCGTTGGTGCTAATACAACTTCCCAAGTAGGTGAAGTGGTCAACATGTTCTATCACTTCACTCCCTATCACTAAGTTAGGGGTTGACGTTGTCCAGTCCTGTAGCAGCATCTTACATTTTGCAGGGGCGAATCGCATGCCAAACATACGAAGATTGCTGCTCAAGGTGTTCAGAAGACTCTGCATTTTGTCAGCATCCTCCCCTAACAGGACTATGTCATCTGCATATTCTAAGTCCAGAAGATTATTCCCTGGTAACAAGTCGATTCCTAAGTCACTACGTTCAGTTAAGGATACTTCCATTAGCATATCTATGATGAAGTTAAACAGAAATGGGGAAAGTGGACATCCCTGTCGGACACCACTGGTTGTTACCAATTCAGATGACAATTCCCCATAAGCCCTTACACGACTACGTGAGTTTGAATAGAGTGCCTTGATTAGTGCAATGTACTTTCTTGGCACTCCCTTCACAGTCAGACATTTCCGGTGGTATGGGTTCAGTCGCTAAATATAAATAAAGTGTTACCCATTTTATGGCTGTGAAGGGAAAATGAATTAGTGAAGAGCCAAATAAAGTATAATTATATTTCAATAGTTTACACACAATGATAAGTTTTGTTATTGTGTGTAAACTATTGAAATATAATTATACTTTATTTGATCTAATCCACAATGTTCAAACTTTTTATTGATATTAATAGTAAAGAGCCCTTCTTCTAGGTTTAGTGTTTGCTAATATGTAAGCCTGAAATGTTAAGTATATTTTACCTTAGTAAACAAATATGTAGTCGACTCAGTGATGCCCTACCTCTTGTATGATAGTAACAACGTCTGCTAGCCTTGTAAATCTGTTCATATTTATTCAACTCTGTTTCCCAAAATGCTGAATATTTTTTAAATTTTGGGTGACAGTTAATCATATTTTAGTTATGTTATTGTTGGCTCTTATGAATGGCGTATATTTTTTAATTTTCAGCCTCTAGCCTCATCCACGGCAAATACCTCGGGCCTATTTTCTCGCCACAGCCCCAGGTCTGTATTCGTCCGCCATCCATATGTTCAACTAGTTATCTCATCACGTGAAAATTTATCACGCCAGAATGAGTCAGCAAATGGAAATATTATAACCCACGAATTTTCTGACGACGATAGTGGTCATTTAATACGTTCTGAAGGTGTCACCAGATCCGGAAGAAGAACCACAGGCCGTATGTCAGCAACAAACACACGTTCAGTGTCTTCCTCAAATACTGTATCTGCTTGTCTTTCACCACGTACCAGGCATAACAGACGCTCTCAAAATGCCCTTGAACGTTCAAGTATTCGAGCTGCATTAGCTACTGCAAGATCCCCGTGTCGTGAAAGTGATGATGATTGTGTAATATGTTTGTGCAAAAAGTCAAACCGCTGTGTGGTATTGCCGTGTATGCATACATTTTGTTTCGATTGTATTTATCGATGGTTATGTATCAATCCTTCTTGTCCACTGTGTAAATGTTTGGTTGAAAGAATTATTTACTCCATCATTTCTGATACCGAATACACTGAAATATTGGTATCTGACCTACACAGAGACGATGGGTTTATTACAGTGAATAGCTTGCCAGCTGAAATGGAGATAGATGAAGAATACTTAGACCCACCTGCAGGAGACGACACCGTTCCACAACCACACCATCGTTATAACTATCAGCAATTGGGTACTCATCTTCTGAACTACTTGAATAATATTACTCGTTTATCGGCCGATGGGACACTACTTGTACCTCCTCTTGTTTTACCTGGAAGCTCAAATGTCGATTCTTCATCAAGCACGTCGCAAACAAGGAATTCGACAGTTCCGTAAGTTGTTTGTATAATAGCATCTTATGTATTTCAACTCCACTTTATTTGAAATGCGAACTAACCAAAGCGCATTAGACCGTAAATTTGCCTTCCTGGGAAAAAGTGTATATGTTTGAGAATCTTGGGTTTTCGTGGCAATGTTAATTTTGGCTCTCAGTGTGTATAGAGTTTGCACATCAATCTCAATTCATGCTTTCTGAGTTATACAAATGTGTAAAGAATGATTTTAAGCTAATGTAGAAACTGGCCTAGAATGGTATCATTTCGAGTTAGCACACAAGAAAAGTGAATAAAAGTAAAATTACTTCAAAAAACACTACTGTGAAAGAAGATACACTTGTTTAATGATCATTAGTAGAAGACTTCAGAAATATATTTTACATATTCTCCCAACTCCACCTATTTCTTGATTTCACGATATTGTAAGTAGTGCTTAAATTAAACCCATGATCGAAGATCGGTACATAAACGCATTAGCAGACTCTGATAGAATAAGTAGTTGCGAAATATACCCACACAGTAGCAGGTACTTGTGTGATAGTGCTAAATATGAACTACTCTGACTTATGCTCTATCTATGCTAGGCTTTCGTCACAAATCAGTTCACTAAGACTTCCAAGATTTCATAAAATAAGGTAGTCAGTACATCTGATCACTCCCCTTCTGTTTCTCTCTTTAAACTCGGGTGTATGTAAATAATCCATTCATTTTGCACAGACTTCTTTCGAATTCATGCTTAGCAGGAGTATGGAATCATTTTACCTGAACCCATTACTCGCGTAAGCGATAGCATCTGACTTAGAACTGCTACCCTAAATGTGGGTGATCAGCTTCGTGTATCTCGATAGTCCAGTACATTATTCTTCCAAGAACAATTATCTTTAAAGGTCCTGTCATTTCAAAATGTCGGTTGAATTGAGGTGAAGTAGTTTGAATACCTTATACTATTTTGCGATTTTGGGGACTCAGTTGTACTTATAACTAAAATGGGTGTAGTGATAGTTAGGTGTTTTCATCAAACATAATATCATGTGTGCTGTGTTGCTTTTCTGAGTCAACCTCCAAAACTAATCATCGTCCTCAACACTTGCTGAATTAAGTGTTTGTATTTAATCAATTCACACTTTTCCGAGCATGTTGTGCTCATTTATCCGGGATGCCATGTGTTCTTCGTACTAGCTACTCAACCCAGGATTTTAGATATTGTGTTAGTCAGGCTATGGGTACTGCGTTTGTCACAGAAAGATGTGTAAGTTTTCTTATAGACTGGTATGACCATTGGTCCAAACTTATCTGATGGAACTACTTCGGATTGCCATGAACCAGTTGATATTGATATCTTAGTTAATCTAGTCAATGGTTTGTCATCAGCGTCTTGAAACAATCATGAGGTCAAGTCATCGGGCTTTCTGTCTTGCCTTTTACAACTTCGGCTACATTAAATGTGAGTAAGGGCAAGTTCTCCTTGAATAAAAAGCAATCTATTTAGCTCAGTGAATTCATTTTCTTCAGTTGTACAGTCGCATTTATATACAATTTTTTCGTCAAAGTGGATATTAACAAAGGGATGATTCATCGTAACAATAGCTACTAATATTAGTCACTATATATGAGAAGTTGAGTAAGGATGATATAATTACGTAGTGAGATAGCATACTAAATGAGTTATAATGAGGACAAAGGAACTTTCTTGGCATGTAAGAGTTGGGGATGACAGATGAGTCAAAGAGGGTCTCAGAAACAGCTACTTTGAGAACTTTAAGGTCATCACTGTTGTGAATGGCAGACTTTCTTTTGTAGGCACAGCTTCGATTTCTCCATCTGAATGGCTAGAGTCTCAGCAATGCAAAAGAAGCGAAGCGTGTCGTCTCAGACAGGTAACTTTTCACTTTGTAGATCACCTTGAAGGAAGAGTTTTTTGAGATAGGGTATCCATTGTCTACAAGTTATTCAACTATTGTATCTCTTATAGAGCCTCTGCTGGCTTTCTTCAACCGTTCGGAATAGTGTTCTTGAACCCTTTTATACAGGATCTGCCAATGTACCTGATTACACAAGAACAGGTGAATTGACATGTGCAAACAGAAGTAGTCAGATGTAAGATCTTGTCCTTTGGGCTTCTGCATACCAGTAGATGACTGCAGAACACTACTCTTGGCGTTTCTGTGAAGTAATTTCCTAAAGAGTCCGAAATTCTTCTCCCAACGACGTCAATAAGTAGGTGACCTTTGAAGTCAAGGTTCATTCAAAGTTTCTTTTTTGTCATAGGTGACATCTGTGAATATCCGTCTTGGATGAAGATTTCCTTCAAAAAGTCTGAATTTTTTAGAGCATCAGAGTTGCAGATGCGTCGGATGCGAGTAGCAAGAGATTTAATTAGGTTCTATTTACGTCTAATTGGCACCCAGCTATAGAAACTGGGAAGTTGGCCGATGGATTGTCCAATGGATGAACATTTATAAAGTTCCATCGGTTCCTCTTGTTTGTTCAGCATCAAGAAAAAAATTTAGATCCACTTTATACTTCAAGAATGAACTTTGTTGCTTAAAGCCAGTTGTTAAATATCTGAGAATTGAGACAAATTCGAGAGGTCACCGAAAGTGAAGAAATCAAGGATACTAAAAATAAAACATGAAAGTCTAGTTATAAAAGTGAAGTTATAAAGGAACACGTTACCAAGACTATGATCATTGTTCGTGAGCGTGTCAATAATATTCCTCATTATTTGTTGTTTCATTGTTAGTGCGAGGGCTGGGAGACTGCTCGGGGACCTAGATCGAAGCAGGTGGTTGTCCTAAGGGACCACCGTCTGAGCCTTTGTGACTTGAAGTCTCATCCGCTAGACATCGGAGCATCGTCAGGAGCCAGGTGCTCATGGGGTCGGTGACCAATACAGGTTTGTACACCATTTGGATTCTGGAGCCCATGTACCCCATAGTAAGTACTTTTAGTCTAACCTCTATCCGAACAACCTTCCCTACGTGGTGGGACCTGCACGAACATAAGTGCCGGCCAGTGTAGCTTGTTGGGTCACGGGAGTATTCAACCCCGACCGCCACGACAAGGTAGCAGTTGTCGGCTTAGGATTCTTAGACTGAACATGTGAGAATCTTTCAGTTATTTATTTCTTGCTAGCTTTTTGATATGTTGTATATATTATCTATCCATTGTGAAATGTATTATAACGTACTTGTTAACTGAATAAAGTCTGTCGGCTAGTTAATGTGATTAGCCGTATTGTTTTAGGCAAATACACTCGTAATTTGCATCACACTTCGCTGTTGTATGAATTTTTAAAGGGTTTATATTTGTTTGTTTGTTTCATTCAAGGTTGGCTATCAATTTGTATTAGGGCTACACATTAAATGAATTCATTCGTCATCTTGTTACATCTTTAGGTTTGCTTACGCAATTTACTTCTCTTTTTGATAAATTGGAAAGTTATCTTTCATGCTAGCCTTTTAAGTTATTCGGTCTTTGATTTATGAAACTTTACTACCTATTGCTTAAGTGGTCTTTTACTCACTTTCTGTCGTTGCAGGAATAATGAAAATTGTGTTACTTTTTTAATCTCCTTGGTTGACCGTGCTATTCGACTCGGTTCTACTGTAATTAACGATGGCTTATTGCTCCGTCAGTTGGTGTATGTTTTTCAGCTTTATTCATTTCCTGAAGGAGAGTAAGTGTTATTTAAAGGTATTTTCATGAATGCAACTTTCATCTGTTTTATTTTGGAGGTAACTCCCAATAGAAAAATATTTTTCACCAATTTAAGGAGTTTACCTGTATGTTCATAAACTCTCACATATGCCGTTAAATAAATAGGTGGAATCAATGGCTCATTTGTTCCGCTTTTTTAGTAGTCTTGTTTTCGATCGTATTGAGCTACGTTTGGTATCCAAGCCTTACGTAACTGAATGATTTAACAGATAATGTATGAGCAGTTAAGTTCTGCTGCTCAGTCAAAGTGTATTATGCAGTGCTCTGTTCTAAAATTTATTCATTTTCTATTCGTTACGCATAGTCGAAAGTGTGAGTTACCCAGATCTTCAATTAGTAATGCTCTCTGACCTGGTTGATTTGATCGCAATTAAAAAAACCATCTCAGAGAACAACTAACTCATTAAGACCCAGATCTACGCTATACCTAGCTCTCATCTGGTTGGTTGATTAAAACGCACTCATCTTCCACCGGTCTATGAGCCACATTTATTTTATGAAGACTGATAATAGTACCCAATCGCTCAGACGCGAGTCAGTGGAACAGATTCGAACCCGGGTGTTATTTGCCGAAAGTTTTAGAAACCTCGTTCAACAGATACATGATGACGCCGCATGTCGAACAATTCACAACGGAAGGCTCCGTGAAGCTTTTGAAATAAAGACAGGGTTGTCTACTATCACCTATTATCCTGGTTGTGATTGACTGGATCATTCAGCACATCGCAAGGGCTAGAAGACGGACATAGGTTGGACTGACGAAAAGATCCTAGAATAACTGAAATTCACCAATGACTTATGCCTCATATCGCATAAACTGGAGAATTTACAAACCAAAATCAACAAGTTGGCAGTAAAAGCAGCGAACACAGGAGTTCCGGTGAATATGGAGAAAACACGGGACGAAGACACCAGACCACCACCAACAAACACCAGTCATTTTCAATGGGAAAAACCTACAGAAAGTTGTGTCTTTCATTTACCTGGTTAGACACTATTGTTTCAACCACTGGTAACACTGTTGAAGATGTCAGAACTAGCCACAATCAGGGGATGCAAAGTAGGCGTCCATTGCTCTGAAATCAGGATGGACATCTACAGGATAAGGACCAAGACGGGAATTTTCAACACCAATAGTGTCAAGTCAGTGCTTGGTGAGTATGTCATCACATGCCTGTCCAACATGTTACTGCATACTTTAATCAACGCATGTCTCCACTCAATACTGAAGACCACATGACCAGCATGGAACGATAAGCAACAAGGGACTGTAGCAGTCAGCGAACTAACGAAGAACCTGTTATCCGACAAATATGCAGAGGGAAATAGAGAATGGTTGTATGTACGCTGAGGAGACCGTCGAGTGGGACTTGATTGTGAGTTGGACATCCATGGTTAGTACAGAGTGGATCATTTGAAAAGTTGTGGGTAGTCGTATAAGCATTTGAAAGTGGTGGCAGAGAAACGAATGCATTAGGGATGTGCCACTAGGACTCTGAGTTTCACTTGAAACACAAAGAACGAGTAGTGATAAAGCACTGATTGGTAAGATTATCTTGCATGAATGTATTGATTTCTTTGTGGCATTTTTAAGCAGTTTGACTGATTATTTTACTTTAAGTCGATATCCATTTGGTTTTTGGTTGCATAATTTCATTATTTTTTAAATTTTAATACAGGCCAGAATTCATACGAAACCTCAGTCCCGAATTCCTAGCAACAAATGAAACTTATCGTCACAGACTTGCAGCGTTTATCCGTCGTGACTTACGTGTTATAGCTCCATGGCTGGCATATGATGTTTCTCATGGTTCGCAGAGTAATAGTGAACATTTCAGTGTTGAATCTTATAATGCTGCTGTGACAACGCCCCTTATTTATGGTGCCCCTGGCTTGGAAGCTGAAACAAGAGAATTAGATGGTCTGACTAATTTGGTCCTCCAACACATATGTACAGTTCACATTACAAATCAGCAATCGATTGTTGATCTTCTGGGGAGTCAGCCTGCTCTTCATTCGTCACTGGTACCCACTGCATACCTTCGTCATTTTGCTTCAGAAGTTTTACAGTTTGCTATGTTTGATGGAACTATAGAGCAGTACGACCGTGCGGTTTCTTTACTTCAGCGTAGAATAGGTCAGGCTGGATTATCAAATGAAAGAGAACCATGTAGGCTTTATCAACGGCTCTCTTTTGATCGCCGCTTAGTTGTGTATGTTGCTGCTAATTCTCGGGTTCATCCCCGTACAGGTTTTATTCAACCCCGGGGTTTTATCTATCCTTTAGCCAATTGGTTATTACAAAGACTTTTTGTTCATACCGTATGTGATAGTCATCCCGACATTATTGCCGAAACAGGTAATCGGCCCAACTCACCAAACATAGTGTATTGTTCGGGACCATTACTTGGATGTCATTCTTATTGTTGTCGCCTAACAGGTACTGGTTATAGTCTTCTGGAAGCCATTTTTTCTCTCTTCACATTAAGGAGTCAGGTTTCGGGAGAAACTACGAATACATTACCTGATGACACTGTTAACACTCCCAGAATTTATTTCAGCCAGCTTTTATACCAACGCATATTGAGTGAATGTATTGATCACGCACGCTTTAGTGAAGCTCTAAGTACGCATTTCAGTCTGTATAATAATTGCTTCCCCGTGATACGCGTGACACCTCAAAGTTCAGAAGGTAATCCACCTATTTCTGCCTCCGCTCATCGTACTGACAATACAAATTCCGTTCGTAATGTAAATAACATCCCAGTATATTCTGCCCACTTGAGATCAGCTTTGCTGATGTACCCACTAGCATTAAGACGTCTGGATGGTCTTCTTCTTCTCTTCTCAGCAAGAGTCTCTGGTTTAAGTAATGATCGAGAGCGAATGGTCAGCGAATTGCTTCATATGCCGCTGTTGTCACTGAACAATAAACCTTCAACAGTTATTGATCTCACAAACTCTACAACTGCAGTTAGCGGATCACAAACAATTTTAACGCGCTCAGAAAGTCAACCACAATCCTTGCAAAGCGTGAATACTACTAGAGCACCTTACGCTTCAAGATTGTCATTTATCGATGGGGAATTCCTAACTCATGTCGACCATTCTTCGATTTCGTCAAATAGTACTCATGTGGTTTGTAGTGATATTAATTCTGTTAATTCGAATTCTGCTGTATCCAATCAACCGACACCTAGTAACACATTTTGCTTTCAAGATAGTCGAAGTTCTTCTTTAAGAACACTGGCTAACGAAACTATCTCAATTCGAAATTCATCCAGTGGCTGCCCTGAAACAGCCCAATATCTTATTATATCTTCGGATTCGTCTGATGAAGAAGTGACCGTCCATCGTAAGGTTACTGGAACTGCTGTTAAACTCATAGAGACAACTTCTGATGAATCTGAACATGATAATAATTCCTGCCGAAATGAATTGAGAAATACTTGTGGATGTGAGGAATACCATTGTTCATCACACGGGACAGACCCTAGTATATCTTTACAAAGCAATATGCCGCTTACGAATATGTATGCATCTACTTCAGCTCAAACAACACAGAATAATACGGCTAGTCATTTTGTGGTTACATCCAATAACTCAGTTGATAATACAGAAGATACTACTAAGGAAGGTTCAGTCAACTTATCGCTTTCATGTACTCGTATTTCAAGTAGTAATCGGGCTGATTCAATCACTAATCAGCAGTCATCCATAACTGGTCATGAAGAATCTATGAAAATCTATGAAGCATCCGAAACAGTTTTTCCATCTTCATCAAAAGATTGGAAAACATCAATGACTGCAAAGTATAAACTTTCAGTAACTGACGGTAGTGACACAACACAATCACTTTCCTCAGAAAATACTAGAACTACAGCTAGTGTGTACGCGCCAACTACCCTGTCTCCTAGAAATTCTTTGAAGCTTTATTATCACTCCCTGACAAAACGTCCATCATACTACCATCGTCGTAAACGCAAGTTGGATTTCAATTTAAATCACTCAGAAAGCACGGATAGTGATTGTGAACTTGTTGGAGAATCAATAAAGATATGTGATGATTGTTCCTGTTCCGTTTCCGAAACGAGTTCGTCTTCCTTAGATGGTCCTCAGAATGCTGCAAAACTCAGTCCTACACTAATTCATTTTTGCAGTCCATCCAAATGTAAAAGCTCTCACAAGAAACATCATAGTTATTGTAACCATCATGAGCGATCATGCTGTTGCCACAATCAATCAAAGTGTCGCGAAAAAACTATCATTCAGATCCCCGATGAACTAATTTACTTGAATAATCCAACTTCTCCTGTTGTTATTTCAGATGATACTGATGATATTACTGAGTCTCATAAGGTTGTTGGTGGAAATAGGATTGATTCAATACACGCCAATCAACATATTTATTCGGAGAACCAGGAAACTACTGTGTCACAACTACCTCATGTTTCCGTCATTAATGTAGGCACTTCGCTGTCATTTTCAGCTGGAACAGGACGCAGTGCATCGCCTAATCATTGTCAAAATGATTCTGTTTGTTCTCACCAGACTTATAATATAAATTCCGGTTCTGAACCACATGTTAGAATGCTTGAACCTTCTACTGCCGATGATTTTTATCGCGTGCTTGATAAATATGCCAGTCAAAGTTAGGGTTCAACACATGTGGCTTCCAGAGCAGATGAAACACCTGTCCCATCATCATCTCGTCATAAATCCAATCAAACAGATAACATAAATTTACCATCTTCTAGTACATCCAGGTTACCCAATCGCGGGACACAAAAGGATCATGAAGTGTTAAATCAATCGAATCAGTAACAACATAGTCTGTTCCTCTTTGAATTTGTCTAATTGAATACCACGTGTATCTCCAGTGAAACAATCGGCATTTTGTGATTTCTCTGTATATAGAAATGAAGTAACGTCGATAAATGTCTGAGTGTGGCTTTAATAAAAAAATAAAGAGTAAGAAAAGACACAAACAGCTCCCACATTGTTTTCGTTAATTGTTGAGTTTTTTTTATAAATTATTATATGCTCCATAACATTTAAGTAACAAACATTATATTGTGTAAAGAGCTTCATTTTTATGTTCTAATCAATGTATTAACTAGATAGATTTTTATGAAGAAAGCTATGTTGTAATTCGTTTCTGTTGTTAAATTTGTTCATGTTCATGATCCTGTGTACTACCACTTGTTAAAAATGTTTAGAAATATCAATCCCTATTGTTATCTTTATCAGAAAATATCTATTTGCCTAAACCTTGAAATCACGTAGATGCAAATGTAAAATTGATTACTGAACAAAGAATATTCTTTTCGATAAGTTCCTCATCAGGTTCTCCAGTTATATAACCACTATAAGGAAAAAATTAGGGTTATTTAATATTGTTTTAATGACATAGAATCAACAGATAACAGTTGAATAGGATCTGTTAGTGTGATAATATGCATCAGCATAACACTACACTGGATATCGGACAAATTAGGAGAAATAATACAGAATTCATGGATTTATAGGCCGGATAGAAGGCCAGGGAAGTAGCAGTAGTCGGACCTGTTTGGAATATTCGGTTCTTGAAGGCAATTCATCTGGTACTCAGATAGGTAATTAGGAAGGATTCTTCAATGCCGATTAGCACCAAGTGGTCTAATATTGAACTGTTGATATCTCTCACTTTATTTAGCCGCACTAGTAGTGTAACAACAGAAGACAAGGGCCGGCATCAGATCGTTTTATTGCGGAAATCAACACGTATTTATGCATATTTCCTGTACATTATTATAGCTTATGCAAGTAGACAAACGCGGGCTTCTGATTGGTTGTTTCGGGTAATCATCGGAAAGTGGAGCCATCTATCTGCGAATCATGTTTGTCCCCGTTTAGTTTTCTGTGATTGGTTGTTGAATCAGCGCTGTTCATATTTTCTCACGGCCAATATTAGTGACCTAGACATTGACGTAGAATAATGTCTACCAATTGGCTAGCAGCCTGTTCTCACCACAGTAGGTGTTCCTGAACACGAAAAGTCAAGTCCCTAGAGCAACGCCGAGTATAACTCGCTCCACAAGCGCGGTTGAACTGGTAGATACAATCAGAAGTGACTAGTCCAGGAATAAATCGGTTGTGTAGAAAATATTACTTATAGCTTACCGGCGTTAAAAGTTCTTTGAACAAATTTTCCTAAATTGTTAATTATTATTTCACTCAGTTAATTACCCTTCACTGCAGTCGTCTATACAAAGCCTTATATACAGATAGAGATTACATTAAATATTCCCATAGTAAAATTTAGAACAACACATTTATTTTCAATATGATCTCATCAGACTTAACTCTAAAATATATAAGTTTACAAATAAAAATTCAAATATAAACCAATCATGGTGTTTTGTCTATAGGATAATACGATGGTGAATATACATTGTGCAATTAGTCATAATAGTAGTAATGATAATAACGATAATAGCAATAATAATAATGGTCTTATCAATAATAAGCATGTATAAGTGAGGCAATCAGTGATAACACGAATGATGAAAAACAGTATGATTAAACGAACAAATGTTCAGGTGGAAGTAGTCGATAAAGGCTAGTAAAAACAAATGAACCGATTAAGTAATGTTAGATTGTAAGGGAAGGAAATGAAACACGTTTATAATGAAGATAAGATTTAGGGATGATAAGAAAGGGGTTGAAAATATAAACAAAGGGTGGTGTAGAAGTCATTAGTTGGTTAGCGGTTACGGGTACCAATACTCCACGTTTTTATGATCTACCAAAAGTGCACAAACTAGATCTTCCTCTTCGCCCTGTTTTAGATATGTATAACTCTCCATTTCACGGAACAGCGAAGTGGTTAGTGAAGATTCTGGGTCCTTTGCACAGAGAGATCGTGCAACATAGAATTAGTGATGTCTTCGAATTTATTTCTAAAATATCCGAGACTAATGTGAGGTATAAACACACGTTATCCATGGATGTATCATCAGTATTCACTAATATACCTCTTATGGAGACAGCAGATTATATTTGTCAAGAAATCACCGAAAGGCAATTAGACTTAGGAGTCCCCTTATGCAGCCTCAAAGAATTGCTTCTTGAATGCACAATGAATGTTCACTTTCACGGAAAATACCCATTGAGTCATGAAGAGAAAAAAAGACAGATTCAGCGAAGAAAATTTTCTTTATCGATGAAATCATCTTCAGAGGCTGTACAGTCGTATTTATACTTAGAAAAATGTATAGTGGTCTATTATTGAGTAATAGGGGGTGACATAATTGATATAATTAATCATAAGTGGCTTTAGAAGTGAAAATTAAAAGTTGTAAATTACATGGTACTCAACGGAACAAAGATAGAAGTTTGATAAAGTTAAAATTGCTCTTGAGTGAGAATAAAGGTATTTGAGTGTCAATTTAACAAGTGTGAAAATATACAAAAGGAGTATATGAGATTGATAATAGTGAATTAATTATTAAAGCAAAAGTAAAATTAAAAACACAAGAAAAAATCAAAATTTTTTCACAGGGAACGATTAGTGAAGAGGTTAAGACCAAGGTAGAATAAGAGACTGGACAAACTTTTTCTGTATACAGAGTTCAGGACTGTATTGATGAATTGCCAGCGCCTCCGCCGTACACAAAAGCCGAAACCTGACACCCATTGTACCATTTGGCTTCACTTTGTAGATGATCTTGAAAGACGACTCTGGTAGAGCTAAGTGGCCTGAGTTCACCAAATGCTCGAGAATTGAGCTAATAATTGTCTTGCATTGTCCCTTTGCTAGCCATGCCGGATAATGTTCAGAGATGCGTTTGGAAAGCGTGCGCCTTGTGGGGCCAATATAACTAGCTCCACACGAGCAGGTGAATTTATAAACACACATTGAGGTGGCCCAAAGCGGCAGTTTATCCTTCACACATCCGTTGATCATTTGTCGGTTGTAGAAATTGATATGTAGCTCAGCCATAAAGAAGGCTTTCCTCAGTGATCTGCATAAGCGATTCTTCAGGATCTCAGCTGCGGTATCACCTTTAAATTCAACACTCATAAAGAGCAGTTTCTTCGGCACAGTCTGAATTCTTTCAGGCTTTTCCCTTAACTTCATGTTTTTCTCGATAAATCTTGGAGGATATCCATTCTTTATGAGAACTTGTCTGAGTTGCTCCAGTTCCCCGTCGATTGTATCACTGGAACATACCCTCCTTATTCTTGAGGATAAGGAATGGATCAGGTTTCTCTTTCTTCTCAAAGGGACCCAGCTATGGAAATTTGTATACTGACCATTCCATGTTGGTTTCCTGTAGATCGATCGACAGTTTCCATCTGCATCAAAGAAAAATGGATTATACTTTCATCATATGTGACGACAATAGCGACATCGAATTGATAACTAAGGAGTTCAACAGCTGCCATCAAATTCACGTCGGAATCAGAGATTAACTCCGAATTCCATTTTTCGCATGTTTTCCTAACGTGGAGATCTGAAAAAAAATTTGATTTTTTCTTGTGATTTTAATTTTACTTTTGCTTTAATAATTAATTCACTATTATCAATCTCATATACTCCTTTTGTATATTTTCACACTTGTTAAATTGACACTCAAATACCTTTATTCTCACTCAAGAGCAATTTTAACTTTATCAAACTTCTATCTTTGTTCCGTTGAGTACCATGTAATTTACAACTTTTAATTTTCACTTCTAAAGCCACTTATGATTAATTATATCAATTATGTCACCCCCCCTATTACTCAATAATAGACCACTATACATTTTTCTAAGTATAAATACGACTGTACAGCCTCTGAAGATGATTTCGTCGACGCCGCATGTCGAACAATTCACAACGGAAGGCTCCGTGAAGCTTTTGAAATAAAGACAGGGTTGTCTACTATCACCTATTATCCTGGTTGTGATTGACTGGATCATTCAGCACATCGCAAGGGTTAGAAGACGGACATAGGTTGGACTGACGAAAAGATCCTAGAATAACTGAAATTCACCAATGACTTATGCCTCATATCGCATAAACTGGAGAATTTACAAACCAAAATCAACAAGTTGGCAGTAAAAGCAGCGAACACAGGAGTTCCGGTGAATATGGAGAAAACACGGGACGAAGACACCAGACCACCACCAACAAACACCAGTCATTTTCAATGGGAAAAACCTACAGAAAGTTGTGTCTTTCATTTACCTGGTTAGACACTATTGTTTCAACCACTGGTAACACTGTTGAAGATGTCAGAACTAGCCACAATCAGGGGATGCAAAGTAGGCGTCCATTGCTCTGAAATCAGGATGGACATCTACAGGATAAGGACCAAGACGGGAATTTTCAACACCAATAGTGTCAAGTCAGTGCTTGGTGAGTATGTCATCACATGCCTGTCCAACATGTTACTGCATACTTTAATCAACGCATGTCTCCACTCAATACTGAAGACCACATGACCAGCATGGAACGATAAGCAACAAGGGACTGTAGCAGTCAGCGAACTAACGAAGAACTTGTTATCCGACAAATATGCAGAGGGAAATAGAGAATGGTTGTATGTACGCTGAGGAGACCGTCGAGTGGGACTTGATTGTGAGTGCACGATAAATGTTTACATATACCTATCCTTACATAATATTTTTATCAAAAAATATTTATCCGCCTTCTAATCACCAAGATATAAATGTAAAACTGATTAGTGAACAAAGACTATTCTTTTTCATAAGTTCATCAGATTCTACAGTTATATATCTATAGTCATGTTCTCTGTTCAGTAATCAGTCTTTTGAAATTTCTAATGGTCATTTTTGATCAACTGAAATGCAGAACTGTCAGTGCATTTATCACTGGCTGAATCCTTCTTGACTTAATTGAATTAACTTTGCTATTGTGAAATTCAATTGCCAGTTCACGTCTGTTAACTCAAGTCACTGTAGGGAACAAAATACAATTGTATTTGACAGCTATGTTATCTTGACAAATATATCGGTTCGAGATCATTCACATAATAAGTATTTATCAATTAGGTCTTCGTCAACAGTTGGATATTTTATGACTGAAGAACCAAGGTAGGCTTTTGCAGAGAGCCCACCAAGGCAAGGGGAATCTAAAGATTCCCAAAGAAACAGCTAAATGACACACTTAATTATTACATAAAGGTAGTCAGAATTTAGAGCATGATTAGGTATACATATGCCTACGTCATTGTAAACAATCTCCGACCACTGATTCCGAGCATGAGAAAGGCACAAGCCAATCAGCCTACAAACGGCTCACAACCATAATTAATAGCATGAAAGATTGGCATCTGGTAGTTGTCACGTCATAATATGTTGTATAAGTTCGGGTAGCGTAATATGTGCTTACCAGCACCCGATTGCTATCAAAAATTGCCAGATCATCCCTTCCTTAACTTAATGAAAGGTACCGGTAAATAGATGTGTTCAGAATCCTTTGTATGCTGGAGATTTAATGAATTATTAAGTGTTTGTATTTAATCAATTCACACTTTTCCGAGCATGTTGTGCTCATTTATCCGGGATGCCATGTGTTCTTCGTACTAGCTACTCAACCCAGGATTTTAGATATTGTGTTAGTCAGGCTATGGGTACTGCGTTTGTCACAGAAAGATGTGTAAGTTTTCTTATAGACTGGTATGACCATTGGTCCAAACTTATCTGATGGAACTACTTCGGATTGCCATGAACCAGTTGATATTGATATCTTAGTTAATCTAGTCAATGGTTTGTCATCAGCGTCTTGAAACAATCATGAGGTCAAGTCATCGGGCTTTCTGTCTTGCCTTTTACAACTTCGGCTACATTAAATGTGAGTAAGGGCAAGTTCTCCTTGAATAAAAAGCAATCTATTTAGCTCAGTGAATTCATTTTCTTCAGTTGTACAGTCGCATTTATATACAATTTTTTCGTCAAAGTGGATATTAACAAAGGGATGATTCATCGTAACAATAGCTACTAATATTAGTCACTATATATGAGAAGTTGAGTAAGGATGATATAATTACGTAGTGAGATAGTATTCTGAGTTATAATGAGGATGTATATAGGGGCAAAACCTCGCCTAGATTACTAGCTCGCTAGTTTTCTAGCCGGTCTCAAGCCCGGATAAAGAGGGAGGATTGGGGCGTGGTGCTAGCAACTCCACCCCCAAAACCTAACCAAATCGCTACAGAAACTTCAATGCACCAATATATATAAAATTTTAAAAATATAAACAATAACCTTGCTTTTCGCTGGAATCGGGGAAGTGAAATGACGGAGACTGTTGAAAGCCTTCGGGAAGCCAGTTAGCCGATGTGCCTTCTTTCGATGAGAGCAAAAATAAGGATTGGGACGTGGAATGTTCGTAGAATGTACGAAACCGGAAAGGCTGCCCAGGTAGCCGCAGAAATGAGAAGATCTAGAAGAGAAGTGTTGGGAATCTGTGAGAGCAGATGGAACGGATGCGGAAGGTGCCAACCACCAACTGGAGAGACAATAATCCATTCCGGTCACCCAGAGGACAGTCACGAGTACATCGAGGGAGGGGCCATCATGATGTCACCAACAGCAGCCAAAGCTCTCATGCAAGGGGAACCAATCTCCTCCAGTATAATGACAGCTAGGTTCAACTCAAAGGGAAGGAAAGTTACAGTCATTCAATGCTAGGCGTCTATGAACATCTCAGAACAAGAGAAGAAGGGGGATTTCTACAGACAACTACAAACAGTAATGGACAACGTCTCAAATGGCGATATCAAAATCCTGATGGGTGATATGAATGCGAAGCTGGGAGGAGATAATACAGGAAGAGAACTCACCATGAGTCGTGAGGCCCTCGGTGAAATAAACGACAATGGCGAACTCTTCTCAGACTTCTGCTATTTCAATGATTTGGTGATTGATGGTAGTGTGTTCAAACACAAGGATATACACAAAGCGACAAGGATTTCACCAGATGGGCACACCAAAGACCAAATAGACTTCATCTCAATTTCAAGAAAGTGGAGACAGAGCCTACTGGACACAAGGTCGAGGAGAGGAGCAAATGTGGGTTCAGACCACTTTCTAGTACAAGGGACATTCAAGGTGAAGCTTAAAGCCTCGAGGATAGCTGGAGATAGGCCACAATGCAAGTTCAACACTCAGAAACTGAAGGACACAATCACAAAGGACACTTTCATTGCAATTGTCAGAGCGAAGCAGGAAACACTACGTGACATCACGGAAGAATCATGCGTGGAAGACCACTGAAACTCTTTTAAGATGATTATCAACGAAACGTGTTCAACAGTTTTAGAAAGAAAGAAGAGACAAGACAAGGAATGGCTCTCAACGGACACTTGGAAGCTAATAGAGGAGAGGAGAATGGTTAAAGAGAAAATGATTCAATGCAAAGACGGACAACAGAAAGAGATGCTGAGCTCAACTTACACAACATTCGACAAAGAAGTGAAGAATAGTGCTAGGAAGGACAAAAGACGATTCTACGACAATCTAACCACTGAAGCTGAGAAGGCAGCAGGCAAAAGGGACCTGAGGACACTATATCAGATAACCGAGTCTCTATCCGGGAAGAGATCAGCACAAGTGAAACCTATGAAAGACAGCCAAGGGAACCCAATTACCAAGGAAGAAAGACAGATTAAACAATGGGCGGATCACTTCAAAGGACTCTTGAACCGACTACCACCGGCAACCCGTCCACAAATACCAACAACAGCACGTACACAACTGCAAGTTGACACCAATCCTCCAACGAAAGCTGAAGTCTTGAATGCAATCAAGCTTCTGAAAGATGGAAAAGCAGCTGGACCTGAAGCACTGAAAGCGAACTCAGAGACGACAGCAGATATGCTGACTACATTATTCCAAAAGGTCTGTAAGGAGGGAAAGGTGCCTACTGACTGGAGGAAAGGTTACCTCGTGAAACTACCAGAGAAGGGCGACTTAGGACTCTGCAAGAACTGGTGAGGAATCATGCTCCTATCGACGCCAAGTAAAATCCTGAGTCGCATCATCCTGGAGAGATTAAAGGATGCACTGGAGACAGAACTTCGACTAGAAAAAGCTGGATTCAGGAAAGGCAAATCATGTTCTAACCAAATCGCAACTCTGCGCATTATCATCACAGAACAAAGAATGGAATGGCAATCAAACCTCTACCTCAACTTTATAGACTTTGAGAAGGCCTTCGACAGCGTTGACCGCGAAGTCATTCGGAAATTACTCGAGTACTATGGCGTACACCAAATATTCATCAACCTCATTCAACAGCTGTAGGACAACGACAACATGTCAAGTGATCCACAACGGAAAACTCAGTGAGGCGTTTGGAGTAAACACAGGAGTCAGACAAGGGTGCTGGCTTATTATCACCAATGATATTCCTAATTGTGGTGGACTGGATTATGTGTCAGACAGTGGGAAACGAGAAACGGGACAGGGATATCCTGGACCGAATTGAAGAACCTAGAAGACCTGGATTTTGCGCCTGGATGATTTATGTATGATGTCACACACAGTAGAAGACTTACAAGCGAAAACCCACAAACTGGTCGAAGAAGCAACCGGCGAAGAAAGGACTGCAGGTGAACATAGACAAGACGGAGGTTATGAGAATAACCAGCCAACAACAACAACAGCAGCAACATCCAGCGCCAATCACCATCAACGGGAGGGATTGGAAAGAGGTTACTTCATTCACTTATCTAGGGAGCATTATCTCAACTACAGGCAGTCGGAACGGACGAGGATGTCAATTCGAGAATCGGGAAGGCGAGAAACATTCATCAGCCTGAAATCAATGTGGAAATCCCCGTCACTCAGCACCAACTACAAAATTCGGTCGGATTTTCAATACAAACACACCAAGTCAGTCAGTTCTTCTATACGGATCAGAAACTTGGCGGGTAGGTCACAAAGAATATTTCCAACAGCCTGTTGCAGACCTTTATTAACAACTGTCTTCGCTGGCTCTATACTGAAGATCAGATGGCCGGAAAGAATCACCAACAAGAAACTATGGGAAAAAACGAAACAAGAACCAATCGCCCAACAAATATGCAGGAGAAAGTGGAGATGGATTGGACACTCGTTGAGGAGGCCGGTTGGTGACATCGCGCGTCAGGCCATCACTCGAGTGGAACCCAAAAGGGAAGCGGCGAGTGGGACGTCCAAGGGTGACATGGAGAAGATTGTGTGAAGAGGAGTTGAAACAGTATGAACTAACATGGATGCAGGTGAAAAGTACAGCAGAAGACAGAAGTGGCAAGTGGAGACGTGCAGTTGAAGCCCTATGTTCCACTAGGAACTCAAGGGAACAATGAAAAATAAAATAAATAATATATAGGGACAATGGAACTTTCGTGGCATGTAAGAGTTGGGGATGACAGATGAGTCAAAGAGGGTCTCAGAAACAGCTACTTTGAGAACTTTAAGGTCATCACTGTTGTGAATGGCAGACTTTCTTTTGTAGGCACAGCTTCGATTTCTCCATCTGAATGGCTAGAGTCTCAGCAATGCAAAAGAAGCGAAGCGTGTCGTCTCAGACAGGTAACTTTTCACTTTGTAGATCACCTTGAAGGAAGAGTTTTTTGAGATAGGGTATCCATTGTCTACAAGTTATTCAACTATTGTATCTCTTATAGAGCCTCTGCTGGCTTTCTTCAACCGTTCGGAATAGTGTTCTTGAACCCTTTTATACAGGATCTGCCAATGTACCTGATTACACAAGAACATGTGAATTGACATGTGCAAACAGAAGTAGTCAGATGTAAGATCTTGTCCTTTGGGCTTCTGCATACCAGTAGATGACTGCAGAACACTACTCTTGGCGTTTCTGTGAAGTAATTTCCTAAAGAGTCCGAAATTCTTCTCCCAACGACGTCAATAAGTAGGTGACCTTTGAAGTCAAGGTTCATTCAAAGTTTCTTTTTTGTCATAGGTGACATCTGTGAATATCCGTCTTGGATGAAGATTTCCTTCAAAAAGTCTGAATTTTTTAGAGCATCAGAGTTGCAGATGCGTCGGATGCGAGTAGCAAGAGATTTAATTAGGTTCTATTTACGTCTAATTGGCACCCAGCTATAGAAACTGGGAAGTTGGCCGATGGATTGTCCAATGGATGAACATTTATAAAGTTCCATCGGTTCCTCTTGTTTGTTCAGCATCAAGAAAAAAATTTAGATCCACTTTATACTTCAAGAATGAACTTTGTTGCTTAAAGCCAGTTGTTAAATATCTGAGAATTGAGACAAATTCGAGAGGTCACCGAAAGTGAAGAAATCAAGGATACTAAAAATAAAACATGAAAGTCTAGTTATAAAAGTGAAGTTATAAAGGAACACGTTACCAAGACTATGATCATTGTTCGTGAGCGTGTCAATAATATTCCTCATTATTTGTTGTTTCATTGTTAGTGCGAGGGCTGGGAGACTGCTCGGGGACCTAGATCGAAGCAGGTGGTTGTCCTAAGGGACCACCGTCTGAGCCTTTGTGACTTGAAGTCTCATCCGCTAGACATCGGAGCATCGTCAGGAGCCAGGTGCTCATGGGGTCGGTGACCAATACAGGTTTGTACACCATTTGGATTCTGGAGCCCATGTACCCCATAGTAAGTACTTTTAGTCTAACCTCTATCCGAACAACCTTCCCTACGTGGTGGGACCTGCACGAACATAAGTGCCGGCCAGTGTAGCTTGTTGGGTCACGGGAGTATTCAACCCCGACCGCCACGACAAGGTAGCAGTTGTCGGCTTAGGATTCTTAGACTGAACATGTGAGAATCTTTCAGTTATTTATTTCTTGCTAGCTTTTTGATATGTTGTATATATTATCTATCCATTGTGAAATGTATTATAACGTACTTGTTAACTGAATAAAGTCTGTCGGCTAGTTAATGTGATTAGCCGTATTGTTTTAGGCAAATACACTCGTAATTTGCATCACACTTCGCTGTTGTATGAATTTTTAAAGGGTTTATATTTGTTTGTTTGTTTCATTCAAGGTTGGCTATCAATTTGTATTAGGGCTACACATTAAATGAATTCATTCGTCATCTTGTTACATCTTTAGGTTTGCTTACGCAATTTACTTCTCTTTTTGATAAATTGGAAAGTTATCTTTCATGCTAGCCTTTTAAGTTATTCGGTCTTTGATTTATGAAACTTTACTACCTATTGCTTAAGTGGTCTTTTACTCACTTTCTGTCGTTGCAGGAATAATGAAAATTGTGTTACTTTTTTAATCTCCTTGGTTGACCGTGCTATTCGACTCGGTTCTACTGTAATTAACGATGGCTTATTGCTCCGTCAGTTGGTGTATGTTTTTCAGCTTTATTCATTTCCTGAAGGAGAGTAAGTGTTATTTAAAGGTATTTTCATGAATGCAACTTTCATCTGTTTTATTTTGGAGGTAACTCCCAATAGAAAAATATTTTTCACCAATTTAAGGAGTTTACCTGTATGTTCATAAACTCTCACATATGCCGTTAAATAAATAGGTGGAATCAATGGCTCATTTGTTCCGCTTTTTTAGTAGTCTTGTTTTCGATCGTATTGAGCTACGTTTGGTATCCAAGCCTTACGTAACTGAATGATTTAACAGATAATGTATGAGCAGTTAAGTTCTGCTGCTCAGTCAAAGTGTATTATGCAGTGCTCTGTTCTAAAATTTATTCATTTTCTATTCGTTACGCATAGTCGAAAGTGTGAGTTACCCAGATCTTCAATTAGTAATGCTCTCTGACCTGGTTGATTTGATCGCAATTAAAAAAACCATCTCAGAGAACAACTAACTCATTAAGACCCAGATCTACGCTATACCTAGCTCTCATCTGGTTGGTTGATTAAAACGCACTCATCTTCCACCGGTCTATGAGCCACATTTATTTTATGAAGACTGATAATAGTACCCAATCGCTCAGACGCGAGTCAGTGGAACAGATTCGAACCCGGGTGTTATTTGCCGAAAGTTTTAGAAACCTCGTTCAACAGATACATGATGACGCCGCATGTCGAACAATTCACAACGGAAGGCTCCGTGAAGCTTTTGAAATAAAGACAGGGTTGTCTACTATCACCTATTATCCTGGTTGTGATTGACTGGATCATTCAGCACATCGCAAGGGTTAGAAGACGGACATAGGTTGGACTGACGAAAAGATCCTAGAATAACTGAAATTCACCAATGACTTATGCCTCATATCGCATAAACTGGAGAATTTACAAACCAAAATCAACAAGTTGGCAGTAAAAGCAGCGAACACAGGAGTTCCGGTGAATATGGAGAAAACACGGGACGAAGACACCAGACCACCACCAACAAACACCAGTCATTTTCAATGGGAAAAACCTACAGAAAGTTGTGTCTTTCATTTACCTGGTTAGACACTATTGTTTCAACCACTGGTAACACTGTTGAAGATGTCAGAACTAGCCACAATCAGGGGATGCAAAGTAGGCGTCCATTGCTCTGAAATCAGGATGGACATCTACAGGATAAGGACCAAGACGGGAATTTTCAACACCAATAGTGTCAAGTCAGTGCTTGGTGAGTATGTCATCACATGCCTGTCCAACATGTTACTGCATACTTTAATCAACGCATGTCTCCACTCAATACTGAAGACCACATGACCAGCATGGAACGATAAGCAACAAGGGACTGTAGCAGTCAGCGAACTAACGAAGAACCTGTTATCCGACAAATATGCAGAGGGAAATAGAGAATGGTTGTATGTACGCTGAGGAGACCGTCGAGTGGGACTTGATTGTGAGTTGGACATCCATGGTTAGTACAGAGTGGATCATTTGAAAAGTTGTGGGTAGTCGTATAAGCATTTGAAAGTGGTGGCAGAGAAACGAATGCATTAGGGATGTGCCACTAGGACCCTGAGTTTCACTTGAAACACAAAGAACGAGTAGTGATAAAGCACTGATTGGTAAGATTATCTTGCATGAATGTATTGATTTCTTTGTGGCATTTTTAAGCAGTTTGACTGATTATTTTACTTTAAGTCGATATCCATTTGGTTTTTGGTTGCATAATTTCATTATTTTTTAAATTTTAATACAGGCCAGAATTCATACGAAACCTCAGTCCCGAATTCCTAGCAACAAATGAAACTTATCGTCACAGACTTGCAGCGTTTATCCGTCGTGACTTACGTGTTATAGCTCCATGGCTGGCATATGATGTTTCTCATGGTTCGCAGAGTAATAGTGAACATTTCAGTGTTGAATCTTATAATGCTGCTGTGACAACGCCCCTTATTTATGGTGCCCCTGGCTTGGAAGCTGAAACAAGAGAATTAGATGGTCTGACTAATTTGGTCCTCCAACACATATGTACAGTTCACATTACAAATCAGCAATCGATTGTTGATCTTCTGGGGAGTCAGCCTGCTCTTCATTCGTCACTGGTACCCACTGCATACCTTCGTCATTTTGTTTCAGAAGTTTTACAGTTTGCTATGTTTGATGGAACTATAGAGCAGTACGACCGTGCGGTTTCTTTACTTCAGCGTAGAATAGGTCAGGCTGGATTATCAAATGAAAGAGAACCATGTAGGCTTTATCAACGGCTCTCTTTTGATCGCCGCTTAGTTGTGTATGTTGCTGCTAATTCTCGGGTTCATCCCCGTACAGGTTTTATTCAACCCCGGGGTTTTATCTATCCTTTAGCCAATTGGTTATTACAAAGACTTTTTGTTCATACCGTATGTGATAGTCATCCCGACATTATTGCCGAAACAGGTAATCGGCCCAACTCACCAAACATAGTGTATTGTTCGGGACCATTACTTGGATGTCATTCTTATTGTTGTCGCCTAACAGGTACTGGTTATAGTCTTCTGGAAGCCATTTTTTCTCTCTTCACATTAAGGAGTCAGGTTTCGGGAGAAACTACGAATACATTACCTGATGACACTGTTAACACTCCCAGAATTTATTTCAGCCAGCTTTTATACCAACGCATATTGAGTGAATGTATTGATCACGCACGCTTTAGTGAAGCTCTAAGTACGCATTTCAGTCTGTATAATAATTGCTTCCCCGTGATACGCGTGACACCTCAAAGTTCAGAAGGTAATCCACCTATTTCTGCCTCCGCTCATCGTACTGACAATACAAATTCCGTTCGTAATGTAAATAACATCCCAGTATATTCTGCCCACTTGAGATCAGCTTTGCTGATGTACCCACTAGCATTAAGACGTCTGGATGGTCTTCTTCTTCTCTTCTCAGCAAGAGTCTCTGGTTTAAGTAATGATCGAGAGCGAATGGTCAGCGAATTGCTTCATATGCCGCTGTTGTCACTGAACAATAAACCTTCAACAGTTATTGATCTCACAAACTCTACAACTGCAGTTAGCGGATCACAAACAATTTTAACGCGCTCAGAAAGTCAACCACAATCCTTGCAAAGCGTGAATACTACTAGAGCACCTTACGCTTCAAGATTGTCATTTATCGATGGGGAATTCCTAACTCATGTCGACCATTCTTCGATTTCGTCAAATAGTACTCATGTGGTTTGTAGTGATATTAATTCTGTTAATTCGAATTCTGCTGTATCCAATCAACCGACACCTAGTAACACATTTTGCTTTCAAGATAGTCGAAGTTCTTCTTTAAGAACACTGGCTAACGAAACTATCTCAATTCGAAATTCATCCAGTGGCTGCCCTGAAACAGCCCAATATCTTATTATATCTTCGGATTCGTCTGATGAAGAAGTGACCGTCCATCGTAAGGTTACTGGAACTGCTGTTAAACTCATAGAGACAACTTCTGATGAATCTGAACATGGTAATAATTCCTGCCGAAATGAATTGAGAAATACTTGTGGATGTGAGGAATACCATTGTTCATCACACGGGACAGACCCTAGTATATCTTTACAAAGCAATATGCCGCTTACGAATATGTATGCCTACCTACATCAAATTCCGGAATTATGTTCCTTATACCTTCTATTTATAACTCCAAGTAATTATGAAAAATATGTATGCAGTTGATGAGTATCCACGAAATAAAACGAGCTCGTATTATCCTGCAAACATGTTCGTTCTTTCTCTCTTCAAACTAATAAAGGGAACCGGTTGTATGAAATTTTTGAAACGACTTCTCCCTAAGAAATCAATCAAGTCACTGAATCAATTAGTGACGTTACGTTGCAGAATAGCTAGGGAAGACTGCAAGATTAAATTCTACGAAGAATATGTATGCATCTACTTCAGCTCAAACAACACAGAATAATACGGCTAGTCATTTTGTGGTTACATCCAATAACTCAGTTGATAATACAGAAGATACTACTAAGGAAGGTTCAGTCAACTTATCGCTTTCATGTACTCGTATTTCAAGTAGTAATCGGGCTGATTCAATCACTAATCAGCAGTCATCCATAACTGGTCATGAAGAATCTATGAAAATCTATGAAGCATCCGAAACAGTTTTTCCATCTTCATCAAAAGATTGGAAAACATCAATGACTGCAAAGTATAAACTTTCAGTAACTGACGGTAGTGACACAACACAATCACTTTCCTCAGAAAATACTAGAACTACAGCTAGTGTGTACGCGCCAACTACCCTGTCTCCTAGAAATTCTTTGAAGCTTTATTATCACTCCCTGACAAAACGTCCATCATACTACCATCGTCGTAAACGCAAGTTGGATTTCAATTTAAATCACTCAGAAAGCACGGATAGTGATTGTGAACTTGTTGGAGAATCAATAAAGATATGTGATGATTGTTCCTGTTCCGTTTCCGAAACGAGTTCGTCTTCCTTAGATGGTCCTCAGAATGCTGCAAAACTCAGTCCTACACTAATTCATTTTTGCAGTCCATCCAAATGTAAAAGCTCTCACAAGAAACATCATAGTTATTGTAACCATCATGAGCGATCATGCTGTTGCCACAATCAATCAAAGTGTCGCGAAAAAACTATCATTCAGATCCCCGATGAACTAATTTACTTGAATAATCCAACTTCTCCTGTTGTTATTTCAGATGATACTGATGATATTACTGAGTCTCATAAGGTTGTTGGTGGAAATAGGATTGATTCAATACACGCCAATCAACATATTTATTCGGAGAACCAGGAAACTACTGTGTCACAACTACCTCATGTTTCCGTCATTAATGTAGGCACTTCGCTGTCATTTTCAGCTGGAACAGGACGCAGTGCATCGCCTAATCATTGTCAAAATGATTCTGTTTGTTCTCACCAGACTTATAATATAAATTCCGGTTCTGAACCACATGTTAGAATGCTTGAACCTTCTACTGCCGATGATTTTTATCGCGTGCTTGATAAATATGCCAGTCAAAGTTAGGGTTCAACACATGTGGCTTCCAGAGCAGATGAAACACCTGTCCCATCATCATCTCGTCATAAATCCAATCAAACAGATAACATAAATTTACCATCTTCTAGTACATCCAGGTTACCCAATCGCGGGACACAAAAGGATCATGAAGTGTTAAATCAATCGAATCAGTAACAACATAGTCTGTTCCTCTTTGAATTTGTCTAATTGAATACCACGTGTATCTCCAGTGAAACAATCGGCATTTTGTGATTTCTCTGTATATAGAAATGAAGTAACGTCGATAAATGTCTGAGTGTGGCTTTAATAAAAAAATAAAGAGTAAGAAAAGACACAAACAGCTCCCACATTGTTTTCGTTAATTGTTGAGTTTTTTTTATAAATTATTATATGCTCCATAACATTTAAGTAACAAACATTATATTGTGTAAAGAGCTTCATTTTTATGTTCTAATCAATGTATTAACTAGATAGATTTTTATGAAGAAAGCTATGTTGTAATTCGTTTCTGTTGTTAAATTTGTTCATGTTCATGATCCTGTGTACTACCACTTGTTAAAAATGTTTAGAAATATCAATCCCTATTGTTATCTTTATCAGAAAATATCTATTTGCCTAAACCTTGAAATCACGTAGATGCAAATGTAAAATTGATTACTGAACAAAGAATATTCTTTTCGATAAGTTCCTCATCAGGTTCTCCAGTTATATAACCACTATAAGGAAAAAATTAGGGTTATTTAATATTGTTTTAATGACATAGAATCAACAGATAACAGTTGAATAGGATCTGTTAGTGTGATAATATGCATCAGCATAACACTACACTGGATATCGGACAAATTAGGAGAAATAATACAGAATTCAATTTAAATCACTCAGAAAGTTGTGTCTTTCATTTACCTGGTTAGACACTATTGTTTCAACCACTGGTAACACTGTTGAAGATGTCAGAACTAGCCACAATCAGGGGATGCAAAGTAGGCGTCCATTGCTCTGAAATCAGGATGGACATCTACAGGATAAGGACCAAGACGGGAATTTTCAACACCAATAGTGTCAAGTCAGTGCTTGGTGAGTATGTCATCACATGCCTGTCCAACATGTTACTGCATACTTTAATCAACGCATGTCTCCACTCAATACTGAAGACCACATGACCAGCATGGAACGATAAGCAACAAGGGACTGTAGCAGTCAGCGAACTAACGAAGAACCTGTTATCCGACAAATATGCAGAGGGAAATAGAGAATGGTTGTATGTACGCTGAGGAGACCGTCGAGTGGGACTTGATTGTGAGTTGGACATCCATGGTTAGTACAGAGTGGATCATTTGAAAAGTTGTGGGTAGTCGTATAAGCATTTGAAAGTGGTGGCAGAGAAACGAATGCATTAGGGATGTGCCACTAGGACCCTGAGTTTCACTTGAAACACAAAGAACGAGTAGTGATAAAGCACTGATTGGTAAGATTATCTTGCATGAATGTATTGATTTCTTTGTGGCATTTTTAAGCAGTTTGACTGATTATTTTACTTTAAGTCGATATCCATTTGGTTTTTGGTTGCATAATTTCATTATTTTTTAAATTTTAATACAGGCCAGAATTCATACGAAACCTCAGTCCCGAATTCCTAGCAACAAATGAAACTTATCGTCACAGACTTGCAGCGTTTATCCGTCGTGACTTACGTGTTATAGCTCCATGGCTGGCATATGATGTTTCTCATGGTTCGCAGAGTAATAGTGAACATTTCAGTGTTGAATCTTATAATGCTGCTGTGACAACGCCCCTTATTTATGGTGCCCCTGGCTTGGAAGCTGAAACAAGAGAATTAGATGGTCTGACTAATTTGGTCCTCCAACACATATGTACAGTTCACATTACAAATCAGCAATCGATTGTTGATCTTCTGGGGAGTCAGCCTGCTCTTCATTCGTCACTGGTACCCGCTGGCTACCTTATCTGAATCGACAAGACTGTCCCCTAGTAAGAATTCAATGCATGAGTCGCTAATTTTAAATACGGTTACATTCATTTGTACATCTATGGTTGGATGAAACAAAAGTGAGACAGTGGCAAACTCTGTTGGTTGGTTTCATTGTAACATGCTGAACTTTGATATTGGATCAACTGCCCTAACTGATTGATGCTGCACAACAATTATTGTGAAGTGTATGCAGGTTTTCCAAAGTAGCCCAAACTCAATTACTATAATGGTGAAGCCCACTTATACGCCTATGATTTCCGTAGGTATCCTTTTTCCCTCCCTGGAATAATCAAAGATTTATACAAGACTAACACAACTATTCCTTTTTGCACGACGTTAGGTAGTTCATCCGGACAAGAGTTCATCACTACCGTCCCTACACACTTCTGCATTTATTGCATCAGATAGCATTGGTGTCTGGCTCTAGATTATAAACATCTTTCGCAACCTCAGTTACAGTTGGAGGACCGATGTCAATATCCTGAACATGCAGGCGTTGATGTTGGACAAATAGAATGTTGTTATAAGCCACAGTGGACCCTTCAAAGTAACAGTTCTGTCTTCTGAGAGATAAAATTTGTAAGTACGTTAAAACTTTGCTGCACATAAATTTAATAATTTATTTAGGCTATAAGTAGATGACGAGAAGCCAAAGAAATAAATTATGGTACCATATTATTCAGCACAAACCACTGTTGCTCCTGCTTTACTCATATTCATCAAGGGGAATAGATGTATAAGCTCAAATAGGTGTTCAGTGTTGATGCCTTTTTTCATCTCCTACCACTAGTTAAGGCCATCGCGGACATTTTTGTGTAGATTACATTTCAACAGTTTTCGCTCCTCGTCACGTTCAGAGCCCTTAGTATAAGAAAGTTAGAACTCAAACGCCCGGTAGGGGATTATGAACCAAATATTTCCTGTGGGGACCGATGACGTACACGATTATAGCAAGCTACCTAGAGTGGTGACCACATTGCGAACCTGACTAATAGGATTCAATCTGCATCAAAGAAAGGACTAACACATCACACTAGTTACCAGTGGCCAATCACAGTATCCACTAAAGTCCTAAAAGAGATCGATCGCCAGTCCGAATACCTCAGTGTTAACGTCTCTGACTGCAGCACTGGGTGATGCGGGTTCGAATCTCAGAAGGGACATGAGTCCCTTCAAGGTGGCAGATACGCCTTGCTGACGAGTGCCAACTAGTACGAAACCTACGTCCAAGGCTTCCTGCCAATTGCCTCCAACTATCTAATATCACTGATGATACTTGAGTTACTCAGGCTGGAGAACGTGATATAGGACTCGATCTCGGTGATCCCTGGCTATCATTCATGTCGCTAAGTCTACCAACCGCATCTCCGGTGGAATCCAGTATTCTTGTGTCTATTAGTCCGGCAAAAGATAGCAGATTTTCGATTATCAGCAGCTTTCGCTACTCTTTCTGCAGCTGACTGGATATCATGTGACGTTTTCCCAATATGAGTGTTGGTATCCATTTCAGATACGAGTTTAGCAATGCATTCCTCAAATGGTGACTCAGTGTTTCCGTAATGTTGAAGACATGACAGCTTCATAATTGTCTGTTTTTTATAGGCGTACAGTCTAAGACACCCGCTAAAATGACCAAATCTCAGCAGTAACCTAGACACCTTTTAATAAGACTCCCCTTACTTTCTCTGAACTAGTCAGCTTTCTGCAAGCGGAGATTATGGAAGAGCATCGACGAGTATTGTAGTCCTTACTTCTTCAAACTGATTCGTTTAGCTGGACAGCACTATTCAGTCAAGCAGTGAGTTTTCTTCACTAGTACGCTTTTCTCCGAAATACAGTATACATACATAGCTCGAGATGCACGTCGTCTTATTTGGCGAAAAATCCTGAGTATTGTATTATTATTACATTACAATAATATAGTATGTAATACTGATGAAAAGTTTACAATGGTAGGAAGACAAGACGTTTAGAATGATGGAGATGAAGATGAGTGACGATTAAGAAAGCTTTGTGTGGTTATGAAAGTGTGTGGACGGTTATTACTTCCCAGCTTCCCACATCGTGCAACTTGATTTCTTCTTGAGCTACCTGAAACCAAGGGACATCAGGGTTGCGTAGCTGAAGAGATCAGGCGGAAACTGCTTGAGGCCAGTCGCACACAGCCTGTGCGAGTTGTGTCCGTATGAAGACAATTTCTCTTAAATAATTTTGTCTCTGTATTACACGATATCGCCAGGACTGCATCATTAAGTGTAGTTTTGTACAAAAATATGAATAGGTCTAGTCCATAATTTGAAATCCATTATTTTAGAAACTGCCAATCTATCTGGATCCTTAGGCAACCGAAGCTATCTTAGATAATGTAATCGAAACGAATGAATTTTACTGCCCACCATGAAGTTATTTATAAGTGCAATTATAGTCTGGATGAAATTATGTTAAACTCTCGGATTTGCGTTGCTTTAGTTTTGAAATTCTCTATTTATCTAGCCACTAACGTAATTATGATCAAAAGTAGGATAAAATGTAAATCTTGTGACTCAAAAAATGTGGACATACGATATATGGAACAAGTAGATGAACAATTAAAATGAGTAATGCAAAACACGATGAAATCTAGGATCCAAAAGTTATATTTCTGAAAGACTTTAAACTTACCCACAAAAAATATTCAAACAAAAAGTACAACTACTACATACTTATGCATTCAGAAAATATGCCTAACTTCTACATGAAGTTTGATTAAAAAAGCCGGTGACCACACATGAAAGTTCAGAAAACACTAATTTCCACTTTTAATCTAAGCCACAAATTTTCTGTAAGAGCTATAGGATATAATTATCGAGATTTAAATTAAGATCCAAGATATAATCATTTTTTCACGAAAACTTTTCCTCCTTCTTATCGTCAATATGAAAAAACTCTTCGAGATCAAAACATATATTTAATTACTTTGTACACTAAATGCAATATAGTAGTCCAAAAAATAGGCGAAATGCTCTTCGAAAAATTTCACTCATTTTCATGCCTCAGTAGCTCGAAAATGATTATCATCTACAGTTGAATACACATGACCTTCCGTAGTCAGAAAATCCAAATCTCTTCTGAAAAAGTACAGAATTGATTAAATAGGTTATCTATTTAACAAAGAAGTTAATGGTAAATTAGGCTACTTGAACTTTTTCAATCCAATTTGACGCTAACTACAGGACTGAGGAGAAGGGAACAGGATTTTCAGTACTGAAATAACTCCGAATTCTAGTCGACTATGAGTTAGAAGACAAATAGTAATGACGCTGAATAACGCTCAAGTCCAACCGCACTACAAAAGTCGTTCAAGACCTGTTCCATAACGTCCTACAATCAGACCTTGTAGGGTTTTATGAGTTTTCAGCATAGCTCCTTACGGCTAAGATAACTATATATATTGGTAAAATCCAACAGGATATTCAACCAACTGCAAAATACATTCACTGTTAAGGTATTTTAATAAATTTAGCTACTTAGAATTAATATAATCTGTTTTTTGAAAATTTGACGACCAAAGCCACAATCAAATTTGATTATTTTACCAATCAAATCCCTACAAACCAACACTTGAAATTTGATTATGTTAAACGCATACATACTTTGTTCTACGATGTTCTGTTAGCTTAGTTTGGCAAAGCGGCATAGTTTTGTACTTTAAATGTGAACATGAGCATCGTATAGAAAAGTATGACCTACAATACTTAACATAGCTTAATTAGATGTCGCTATAGATTTCATTTGAAACCATGAATTACAATGACATCTATGCAGTTGCTTACGTCACATAACACCTGTGTATGATAAACATAAAATATAATAACCAAGAAAAAATTACCTAATTTGTCGTTCAGGGATTCCATGCAATTTCTTGATTAACTGTGAGACAGGAATTCCACGTTCACCAACAAATGTCCTTACTATCGCCAGTATCTGATTTTGTAGGACGGTAAGACCGTTACTGATAGCACCAGTAGTGTTATGTGCTCCATCTTCACTGAATATAGTATTGTTTGTTTCATTATCTTCATCGTATTTCATTTTAATGTACAACATTCGTGTGTAAATCACCTCCATAATATGAACAGTAAGTTCATTCATATCAGACAATAATATCACCTTAAAATAAAAACTCATCATTGAAGTTTATGTAGGTAATGGAAGGATAGACAAGAAGGATAGAAACCCTGAATAGTTCACGTCATTATACTTGGAAAAAAAGTTTTTTCGAAAGAAGGGAGCAGAAAAGTAATGACACTATAAAGAACAAAAAACACGGCTAGTGAGAACGTATAAATCCCACTATACACACAATAATTGGGACTTCGAGTTTGTAGTTACTGAGTCATACCATTCGATAGACACCAACAAGGCGGATCGAGTAATGTAGTGCGACCACTTCTAACTTTTTCCAAACGAATTCTACTTTGGCTAGAAATGCTCATCACTGATAGGGACGGGTTAATAGATGAGTTCCAACTTGTGCGACTGACATTTCTTATTCAATACATTCCATCTCACCTTATCACTGTTGACCAATTTCACTTACTGAAGACGAGCAGATACGAAATTCTTACTTTCCTAGCTTTCTGATGAGAATATGGAGTATCTGTTAAGGGAGATAACTAAAACTATCATAGTTTGTTAGTAATACTCAATCTAAGAAACGCTGAAATCATATCTGTTTTGCTGTAAAAACACTAACGAAGGCTAATGGTAACGTGCAACCAATGTATCTCAGCAGTCTCACCTCAAGTGACACAAGGAAGGGGGCTAATATCAGCTGGATCCTAACATGATCAGTGAAAACGGCACAAGCAAAAGCTGGTGATAAATCTCCGCAAAACGGCGAATAACGAAAGCTAAGGAAGTGAGAAAGACATTCCAATCAGTCGTACCTGTTATCTTTGAGGATCATTAGTTTTATATCATAACCCGAAGCAGATTTCTCGTGCGCCAGAATGAACGAAACTTGCGGGGGTTGGTAAAACTACCCAGTTGCTCGGGTGGGTGTAAGTGGAGCGGGACTCGAACGCCGGCTGAAAACCAAGTACTTAAGTCAATGAGCCATGTTTCCACTTACAAGGATATAAGAGAAAATGACTGCAGTTCTGTGAAAAGTTCTACTTAGAAACTCCTGTCTGGTTCTAATCATATAACGTTATCGAATGCTAGTACGTCAATTTTCAAATAAATTATGCATATGGTACTGATCAAGGCTTTTGAACATGGGTGTTGAATGGAAGTGTATAACCATGACTAAATGAAAGGTGATAAGCATCAAGCACTAGCTGTCTGTCTGTTTTCGACATAGAACTTTGCACAAATGTGCGGAAGTTCAAGTCGCCACACTCCGTGTAGCACGCGAAGCAAGAGAAGAAAGTACAAGAAAAGCATAATAGAAACAGTGAGCAGAGGTGTGAGACAAAGGAGTAATAACGAAGAACAAAACAGTTTCATTGGAGATCATAAGTCACAAGGAGTGGATGCATCTGCGCCACTGAGAACGATTTTGAGCCATGTCACCAATTGTTTCCAACCATAGATTTTTACCGTCCCGAGGACCCCAGCCTGGAAGTCTACACCTTCCTACGTGGCTTAGACCAACTGTTGTGGATTTCATTGACTGGTGCCAAGTTTTTGTTTGACCGCCGCTAGCTTTTTTCCAGCCTGACCCTATATCCGCTAACATTGCTCGTCGAGGGAGGCGATGACTTGGCATACGTAACACATGTCCTAACCATCTCAGTCGATGTAGCTTCACGACTTCGTCGATTGATTTCCCCTGTTTACCTAGAACTCGACGCCTAACCTCAATGTTGCTCACCTTATTATGCCACTTTACACGGGAAATAGAACGCAGGCACCTATGATCAAAGACAGCTAGTCTTTTCATGTCTTCCACTCTCAGTGGCCAGGTCTCACAACCATAAAGGAGGACGGAGCGGACTGATGAGCAGTACACCCGCCCTTTGGTCGATAGTCGAACATCTCGTCTACGCCAGAGTCGGCGTAAACTGGCAAATGAGAACCCTTGTATTCGTGCTGAGATTTCGTCAGAGATCAACCCGTTGGGGCTGATGGTACTTCCCAAATAAGTGAAGCGGTCAACGTGCTCTACCACTTCACTTCCTATTTTTAAACTAGGCGTCGATGTAGTCCAGTCCTGTAACATCATCTTGCATTTGGCGGGAGCGAATCGCATGCCAAACATTCGTAGATTGCGGCTCAAGGTGTTTAGAAGACTCTGCATTTCGTCAGCGTCTTCGCCTAGAAGGACTATATCGTCTGCATATTCCAAGTCAACGAGATTATTCCCTGGTAGCAAGTCAATCCCTGAGTCGCTGAAGTCACTTAGGGTTAAGTCCATTAACACATCTATGATGAAGTTGAATAGAAAAGGGGATAATGGGCATCCTTGACGGACACCACTGGTCGTCACCAGTTCAGATGACAGCTCGCCGTAAGCCCTCACCTGGCTGTATGAGTACGAGTAGAGTGCCTTAATCAGTGCAATATATTTTCTCAGAATTCCCTTTACAGCCAAGCATCTCCAGAGAACTTCTCGATCGACAGAGTCGAATGCTGCCTTTAGGTCAAGAAATATAATGACTGTTGGACGCCGGTAGGAATGCCTATGTTCTAGAATCTGTCGGAGGGTGAAGATATGATCAATACACCCTCTTCCTGGTCTAAAGCCTGCCTGGCTCTCTCGTGTTTGTGCCTCCCGAGCACCACTCAGTCTACGCATGATTATTGAGCCTAAGACTTTAGATACTATATTAGTCAAGCTAATCCCTCTGTGATTATCACAGGAAGACTTGTCTCCCTTCTTGTATATGGGGATAATCAGTGACTTACACCAACCCGATGGGACTTCTTCTGATTCCCAGACGCTGCCTAGTACCTCAGTTAATGCAGACAGTAAGCTGTCTCCACCGTACTTAAATACCTCTGGAGTCATTCCATCAGGTCCCGCTGCTTTGCCTAGTTTCAGATTGGTGACAGCTTTAGTAACCTCAGTTAGGGACGGAGGACCTGTCTATATCCCATTCAGGGAGGTGTTGGATGCTCGGAAGGTTGAGCGTGGCTGTGGGCAAATTAAACTGCTCCTCATAATGCTCTTTCCAACGATCCAGTCGTCTATCCTGGGAGCTAATTATAGTGCCATTTTTTTCCGAGATTGTCTCACTGATGATTTGTCTTCTCCCACCCGTTTCCCTGATGAGTCTAAAGAGTTGCCTGGTGTTGCCTATCCTCGAAGCTTTCTCCATCTCTTTGGCTTTTGTCACCCACCACTGTTCACGGTCCTTGCGGAGACTTTTCGTAAGTTTCCTCTTGTGCAGCTTTCGCTCCTCATTGAATTCGGAGCTCGCCGGAATAAGTCTTCTAGCATCTATCAGTTCGGATGAGGCGGTGGAGATCCAGTGGTTTTTACTCACCTTTGGGTTTACCTTATTCACAGCTTTTACAGCTGTATCTATGGCTGCCTGGATATTTTTCCAAGCTTCTTCAGGGTGAGCACAGCTGTCGAACACAGATATGTGTTTAGCTAGTTCTTCCTCAAATACGGATTTAGTTTCCTGATCGAGCTGGGGACGTGATGGTTTTACCGCCAGCTGTTTCCTACGTCCGTTCAGTCGTAAGCACACCCGAGCGCGGACCAGTGCATGGTCGGTATCTACACACGTGTTCCAGAAGGAGCGACAATCTCCTACCGACCCACGCCAACGATAGCTTATTGCTATGTGGTCTATTTGTGTCCAGCGTTGGTTTGATGAAGGGGGTCTCCAAGTCAAACAGTGTCTCTCCTTGTGTTTGAAGTTAGTGCTTACAAGAAACAAATGATTATCAGAGCAGAACTGTAGGAGACGGTCACCGTTGTCGGTTCGCTGGCACGGAACTCCATAGGTGCCACCGACATCCTTCTCAGATTGACACAATTTCCCTACTTGAGCGTTAAAGTCACCAGCTAGAACGACTATGTCTGAGCGTTTAGCCTTTCTCACCAAACTAGACAGCTTTTGGTAGAACTCATCCTTCGTTTCATCTGAACTGCAGTCAGTGGGGGCGTAGGCGGAGATTACGAAAAGGCATCGGCGAGTAGTGCAGTCCTTCCTCCTTCTTACTGATCCGTTCAGGCGGACAGCACACATTCGGCTATCTACCGGGATCCAGTCAAGCAATGTCTTTTCTGCCCTAGTACTCAAAGCTATCCCTACGCCAGCTAATCCTCGTGAACTAGCTGTGGCATCTCCTGACACCCTCAAGGTGAATTTTGCAGATTCAACCTGTTGGCCAGGTGGGGTTAGGTGAATAACCACACTTGGGTCTTGTATGCGTGTTTCTGAAACACAGCATACATCAATGGCTCGTGATGCCAGGGTCTTGGCTAGTGATGCTTGTTGTCCTATTTGGCAAAGTGTCCTAACATTAAGAGCTCCTATATGAAATTGGTGGCGCGGCTTTAAGAGGCTGTCGGTGTTTTTTGGCTTCCATCGTTTTTAGTGGACGCAGAGTGGAGAGGAAGTGGAGAGCTATCAAGTCGAGGAGTTGCATCAGTGGAAGGAAGGCAAGATGATAGAGATAAAGACAAAGATGAGTGAGTAATAGAGAGGTTTCGCGTGCGTTTCGGATTGTGAGGGCGATTGTTACTTCCCGGCTGCCCACACCGTGGAAGTTGGTTGCGTGACCGCAGAGCCCAGGGGACAACTGCTTGAGGCCGGTCACACGCGGCCTGTTTTTGTTTGTTCTTTTTGTTTTGTGTGTCTCAGTAGCATATTATCACTCCTGCCCTGTGACACGGCAGCAGGAAGCGCGGTCGTTGTTAATCCGGGCCACGGCCGATCCGGCATGAAATTTTGTATTTATCATGATGTTGGATTGGGTAGCTGCTTTTTGTTTAACCGCTATCCAAACAACCTGCCTGGCATGGTAGACCTCAAGAGACATAAGTCTCAGCCAGTATAGCTTGAATAGATCATTGCGGTGTTCAAGCCCGACCACCACGTCAAGGTAGCAGCTTTCGGTCGGGAAACATCAGGGCGAGGCGCACGCATACAGCACACAGCCTTCTTCAAACCTTGCACACAACCATTAGGTCGCGTACTTTCCCATCGCCCCTGGCAGATCTGGCAACAAAAGTCACGAGAACACCATCAGAGCATATGACAGGCTAGGTACCCCACAAGCACTAGCACCTTCAGACAACTTTGGGATCGAATTATGTCGTTTTTCCTTGTCAGATTAGAGACCACTTTCACAACTTCGGTTAGATTTAGGAGAGACGTCCAGCTTCCATTCCAGCATAGGATGGACGTCCGACAACTGAAATACAGTTTTGGATCAGTTAAATTATCGCTCGAAATGTTCTAAATGAGTGGTTGAATAAACCGAACCATCCTTCTGAACCAATGTATAACATAAGGGCTGTTTAAGAAAAACTCGTCGATCTGAAGGACACGTGCATCATAAAAAATTCTACCCTACTATACTATTCGAGTTCCACACTTACTCAAGACCAAGCTAACAAACACTCTACTACAAAATTCTTACAGTGGTGGCACTAAACCTAACTTATATGCAGGTTTCCAAGTATGGCAGGACCTCACTCACTGTATCGGGTTTTAATAATGAGCAAGAATACTTTCTAGAAACAAAGGTTTTCCCACGTTTTCACCGATTCGTTTCCAATCATATTTGCACGCACCTCTCAATCTCTCACAATCGGTCATAGGGAAACTGATGATAAAGCAATAATGATATAATCCAGATATTATTGCACATATTCCAAGTATTTAAGACCAAATGGTCTTTGTCCGGGTGACAGATATCAGTAAAACAGAACTGTCAAAAACATTTCCTTCGAGTTAAAAATCAATTTGTTCTATTCAATCTCAGTGCAGATTAGAGCCAGCAAAATTTCACCATCATTTAACGCTAAACAGAGTGCTGGTCAAATCGACTACCTAAATGAACGACTTTTGGACTAAAGTTTTTAGTCATGCAAAATCCAAGTCACTTCAAATGGCATTTGTGATACGCACCCACTTAGTTAACACAATATTACCCAAGACCTCTGTGGACGTTAGACGCACTCGGGTCGAATTAGCTCTCATTTATGCCTTAATGGTGTTACGTTTTTACCAGCAAAATAACATGACTCCAAGGAAGACAAAAGTAATGAAAAAATGCAAAGTGAACCTTAGCTGACGTTTTCAAATTCTCCAGCCGACAATGATTCGCTTTGTCTCTGCTTTGTACACTGTCTACAGAGACAATGAAAGGTTTTCAAAAACACCATCAAAATCGCAGAAAATGATCACACCACCTGAGCTAAAGATCTATCGCATCTTAAAAACAGTATTAATAAATAATAATACTAATAATAAACAACAATTTTCAAACCTTATTATTCTTATTTTGCCTCACCTTACAGTCAATGACTACGAGTACGTTGTAACTATTACATACTCTGGATATTTCTACGTCAATAAAAGGACTGAGTTACCGATTATTTATGTAACCGAAGGCACTACTAACATTGATTTACGCCACCTGAGTAACAGCGTATTAGTAAATCAGGAAGAGCACGACCACTTAGTTTTTACACAGTTGGAAAGGTGATAATTTAGTTTAAGTGTGGAAACATTTTAAAGACACTTCACAAAAAGACAAACCACAGTTACTACTGGACAGAATAATAAAGTACTAATGAATAATACGATGTGCTTACTCGAAAGGCAAGAATGTTTTTTATTCCATTTACGCTTCTCACATGACCATGAACTCGCACATAAGATAATTCCCTCAGTGGAAGAAATTGTACAACTGCTGGTGTATTGTCCTGGTCTTCCATGAACAGTTTGACTGCCAAGTAAGGGCCAGTGTAGTCATCTATCTCATACTCCACTCGTGTACTTGACTCATTTACTGATCGGATTATACCTACTACTGACACCTGCAGAATGTTTAAGATAAAGTTAGTGGATATACCTGGCTAAGCTCTATCCCACAAGGAGAAGTACATTTATCGCCATCTTGACTTGCAGCCATGATTTCTGCGCATGTACAAGGGATAATATTACCTTGATTGCTATCTTTCTAGAAAACGTAAGAAGTTATGCAATAAAAATCGAAGACCTTCTGACTTGAATTCGATGATGCTGATGTCATATATCCACCCCCTGAGTCACTAGTACCTCCAAGGGTACCATAATCTGCATTTAATGTGAGACAACATTCACATTGCTTACCGTTCGCAGACCACATTACAGCAAATTCAAAACACCCACAACAAAACGACAATTAATTTTCCCTCCAATACGTTAAGAAAAAACACATAAGTCGAAATATAAATGCACTTATGTGCAAGCTCAGGATGAAAAATTCTTTCTCTGTGCACCTAAGGCAACAGAATTTTTCAAAAGAAAACTATTAATTTTATTCATTCCGTTTTAAAAGATTATGTAGAGAATCGGTGTATGATATTCGTTCACCTACTGGTCATATCATAAGAAACTATTCACATTTGGAATCTAGTAACGACAAATATCTACACTTGCCCGTAAGTAAAATGTTCCACCAGTTCACAAACAGATCAATGCTAAACTCATGCAGTTATACTATGATCTTCGAAGGTCAATAAAAAGAGATGAATTATGTCTCTCAACCAACAAGTTAACTCATCAATTTGTGCATTAGCACGACATCTGGTAAGTAACTGAGTTGAAGATATCATCTGAAGAGATCAACTATCTCTGTTATTACATTCGTGTGTTTGTATTATATTTGAAACACGAAGTTGCTACTCATGCCTCACAAATATTTACATATACTACATATAAAGACTAAAATTCATAATTTTTTAAAAGCATCCAGTAAGACCGGTGAATTCGGTAGCTTCATTTCACGCCCATTAGCAAAACAGCCGTAGGTTTAGACTTATGGTAAGTATGCCGACAATTCAAGTAATTTGTGATTTCATAATTTAGTTTAGTTGGTGAGGTCTTCCAAGCAGTAATTAACTCTTAAAAATCAATAATCTATACCAACATATGTCCAGATAATTTCAAAAGGGGCAATCTGTATGCTAGATAATGGGTTCGCTAATTGATTGAAGAAGGTATTCCAGAAAATAAACACCCGAGATCCAAAGATATGGCACTCATTACTGGTTCAATACGCAGCAGATTTTAACTAGCTTGCAAATCATAAAACTACGTTACTTCAGCGAGCATTATCACACAGATATTTTCACGGCTCCTATTTAACCAAAATGGTCACTGATTCAGCCTGTTTAGTGTCGGTAGGATATAATATCTCAGGTAAATTTGTAAAAGTGATTATTTTAAGTTGCGCCAGACAATTTGGCAGGCTTTCCGCCTAAAAAATCTTTGTGATTTTCAGTATTATAAGGGCTTCGTATTCGCAGTCGAATGAGGGAGCAAAATGACGATGTTTTTATAGAGGTTTCGACATCTGATGCTAGGAGATCTGTGGCATTCTTTAAGAGAGACGACGGTTTTAACGAATAAAACACCTATATTTCCTAATCGAATCTTACCCGTTTGTTTACGTAGGCTTTTGGTGGCTCTTACATACGCGAACTATTTATGAGTTTTGAATTTAGAGATGATGGGGCATCTGCAATCATAAAGAATCACTTACTAGATGAGCTTCGGATCAAATTTTGCAGCCGACAAAATGTCGACAGATGTGTGAGGGATAACCTGCATCTTTGGGCTACTTCAGTGTGTATTTATAGATTTACTTGTCCCTGAAAAGTTAGTTTTATTGGCCACATAAAGAGCAAACTTGCCAAATGCATTTCTGAAAATTATCCAGCATGGTTGGCAGAAGAACTGCGCAAAACAGTTACCAGCTTGAATCCCGAGCACTTGGTGAAATTAACCTGTGCAGCTAAACCACAGTCTTCTTCCAAAATCATCTAAACATGAGACCGAGTGGTACAGAGGGCATTAAGTTTCGGCTGTGCATATGGCGGGGGCTTGTGCACTTCGCTAATACAACCCCGAAATCTCTGTGCAGGGAAAGTTTGTCTAGTCTGTTATTCGAGCGACTTTATTGCATATCCCCACAGTGACGCTTGTTGCTATGTTGCTATTGGTTTCAAGTGGCCTTGGTTTTTGGGGAAGATTTAACTGATGTAATATTACGATTTCATAGACATAACTCAGGCTCATAGGTGAAAGAAAGTTATAATCCTGGAATAAGGACACGTTGTTCGTAAGATAAGGAGGACATTATTCTTCAGTTTAGTTGTATGTATACTATTGTGCATCGAGTTGCACTGAGTTCTTAGTGCAACTGTACGTAAGTGCATGTACATAAAGTAAAACATTACGAATGCTCCTGTTTTTAGAATGCAAAACATGAATATTTTCATTAAGTTTATTAATGAAGAATGGAATTTCTTCCTCGTCAATGTTATTTGATTGAAGTTGTAATCTGTGTAGGCCCTTAAAGTAATAAATTCGGCATGGAGAACTCCTATAGAAACCGAAAGTACTTCAGTAAATTTACTGAATACTCCAGCAGACTTTACATAAAGCAAACGTTGCAGTGCATAATTCCTAGACTTGTTGTAGTCACTGGTATGGCCAGGGTACCACTTACTCGTTTTATGCAGCCGAAATATAGAAATCTCGCTTTATTGAGGAAACACTGTAGTGCCTGCAAAAGTAGTGCGTCAGTTTATGAGTTTCATAAAGTCTACAGAAATGTTTTCTATACAGTGATTACTGTTTGCGAATTATCCGAGAAAACACATTTCCGAGTGGGATGTGACACAAGGCTGAATTCTTAAACTGTCATCCTTATGTCAGTTCAATTCAGTCCCACATATATTAGTAGAATAGTCTGTAATTGACTTTACAGTCTTACTAGGGAATAGTCTCATCAACTTACAGTTTGCTGATGATAATGTCCATCAGACTATGAGAAGTAACCTCTGATGCCGGAAAATATGAAAATAATACCGGTATTTGATTATAGGTGTCCGCGTTCTATCTCATGAGTAAAGCAGTATAATATGGCGAGTGCTGTTGAGGTTACGCATAAATGTTTAGGTGGGGAAGGTAAGTTAGTCTTCAAGGTAGGGAAGCTGAATAGATTGAGATGGCTAGAACATATACTGGCATACCAAGCCATCGCCTTCCTCGAGGGAGAATGTTAGCCAGCACATGTTAAGATTCAAAATGTGTTTGGGTCGGTCAAATGAAAAACTGGTATTGGTTCATAAAATCGTTGACAGTCAGCTAGAAGAACTACTACATATATGACTGCAAATCTTTTTTAATGGCACAGATGCATTCACTCTGTGTAATCTCACGTGTCTATTCAACTCATGTTTTTCCTTGTCACTATTTATTCTCCCTCACATTTTCTCTCGGTAAACTTCCATTTAGTTCTATATCTCTACGTTTGTGTGCTAAATGGAATGTGGTAAATTAAATAGGTGGACTTCTCTGCAAACTCATACTGAAAGCTAGTCAGAATGACACAGTCTAGGCATAACTAAATGCGAAACATTGATAAATGATTTCCAAAATTTCAGCAAATGACAAATGTAGTTCTTAATCGTGTTCTTTGCCAAATGAAAAATGGATACCTTTCAGTAATCTCTTCTTCCATCCGGGACTCGTCTCCTACTTTGCAAGTGTTTTTTGTGCTTTGTCACTTTTGTGCTAAGCTTTCAATCAGCATATGCCGTGGTTGTTGACTCAGGACCTAGATTACTTTAGCTGAATAAGGTTTCAGGCGTGCAAACACGGGTCCTGGGTAGTTGATTGGTTGCATTATCATTTCTCGAATGGAATGCAGCATACTGTATATTAGGGTAAATCTTCCGCCTCGCTTGCTGAAGCTGGTGTTCCTCAGGGTATTTTTATCCCTCCTTTTCTTTTTTCTCTCTCGTCTTACATGACTTTTATCTTTCTAATGAGAGCAACTTCGTCAAATACGCTGTTGATCTGACCGTCTCACTTCGTGTCATGTTACAATGTGACTGCAGCAAACTTAACTGGTTCCTGTCTGTAGTCTAAGGTACGTGGTCTTGCGTTAAATCCCTCTAAATGTCAGGCAGTTAACTTTCCCCTCACTCATAAGCGTGAACTGCAAGAACTGTGTCGTTCACAAGATGTTTGTATCAAAGAGGGCACTGAAACAGAAACTAAGTCTAACAGAAAATACCTTGGAGTAAATCTATCCTCAGGTCCTTCTTGGTCATTCTATATCTTGTCGATTTCTTCAGTCTAGCCTACCATGTTATGTAGTCAAGACAACCAGGAATCATTCAACCTCTCTTTTTACAACTTGTTAACTCTTGCATTGGTCTTAACTGCTCCCCCTTATTCTTTTCTGAATTACTCAAAAACGACTATGTCGTATTGTGCAAGGTATTAAGGTTGTCAGTAGGGCAGGTGGTGTACCATTTAGTCAACTCGTTAATGCATTACTTACAAGACATCTAAACTCATGTGAGAAATGGTCTAAATCTATACTGTCTAACCCTCAACATCCCCTCTATTCTCAGCTCTTCCCTTTAATTTCATCTGATGGAACCAGAAGTCAGAATAAAAGATTATGTGATCGTTTTTGGAATTAAGTAATAACAAAAATTGTTGTCGTTTTCATTGCCAGCAGTTCACAGCCTATTGAGTTTACGCAAGTGGAATGCTCATTTCCCACTTTCCTGAGGAGACATCAACTAGGATTCTAGGAAAGTAGTACGTCAGTATGCAAATTTCATGAATCTGTAGACTGCATTCCTTTCACTTATTACTAAAACTAAACTATGAAGGAACTGATATTTCAAAGAAGGACGTAGTACAAGGCTCATTTCTACAACTGTCGTCCTTATTTTAGTTCAATTTCATCATAAATGTTGTCAGTCACGTCTCGTAAACCGTCAATGCCCAGCTCTTGCTACGCTCGGGCCCACGCTGTTCCTTGAAGTTTTTCAGAAACGCTTAGTAATAACGGACGCAAAAACCAAAACACCGATTGGCCACTCGAGAATTCTTTATTGTAACACCAACATATAAAAAATGTTACAACTAAGGTCTGTGAACAAATATTACAATAATAAATCACAAGATTACTTCTGATCGTTTACTGCTGACTTCTTTCTGAACAGCGACCGATGAGACGATGACTGTAATATTGATGCCTCCGCGAAAATTGGGGAAGTTGATTTTGAGCAAACAACCAAGAATTGATCGTTCAATCTTCAACTCCATTGACAAATGTATTAACCGAATTGTCTGTTACTCACTTTAGGCCCTTACCTGGGAACAGTCTT